ATTAATTCAGGAAGGAGTTGTTCATGAAGCAAAAGACGCTGATCCTTCTGGATTACCTGGTTTTATTTTCCATGTCCTTTTTCCGTGGTCTCTATGAATCCGTCCAATGTAAATGTTTATCTCTCAGTTCATCGATCGTGAGCTTTAATAAAGATTATGTAGACATATCGCTATACCATTCGTTGCTTTTGCGGATTAAATGGCAGGTATAGTACATATTCATTCATTATACAATTGAAATAATGCTCAACTGGTCATATATATTTAATGCTTGTTGTTCTAACGACCTATTGAGTGGTAATACTTAAAACACTTCTCTATCTAACTAACCTTAGTTGTTCGTTGCGTGGGCTACTGCCCACAGAAAGAGTGTTGTGTTTCCTGCTAATCATGAAGAGGTTAACACAATAAAACCTTACTTTATTACAGCTTACTGTCCAGCGATACAAACTTCTGATAACAAATAGATACCGCAAACTATTGACGTTGTGATCGAGTATTATTGGAGGTAAATAATATGACATTGACAAACATGAAAAGATGTTAGATGGGAGAAGTAGGCGTACATACGGCATTATACAGAGGAAATTATTCACTTACCCACTTTTCTATGGATCAGTGTGATTCAGGTATTTAAAAATAAAAGCTGAGGAAGCTATCAGAGGCAAAATGCGAAATATTATCTACAAAAATCTAAAGGATGAGAAATGAATGCATCAGTAATTCTATAAAGATTTATTATAATATTTGCTAGTTGAATTCCATCAATCCCTGTAAAAGTATTTGTAACACAACACATTAGGCACTCTTCAGGCTGTGGGAACTAAAATCAACTATGATGTTGACCCTAGATTCTAACACTTGTAACACAGCACATGAAGCACTCTTAATCCTGCGAAATAAATTATGAATTATCATTACAGCAAAAAAGGTCTTAACTATCATCGGGGTATTGATTTGATGAATAATACGTAATACAAAAATAACTATGACGCAAAAAGAAATGTTAAACTATATCTTGCGTGTTCTGGCTAAACCATCCAATAGGTTTTGTCGATAACCCAATTACATAGCTGTGATCGTGCATTGTTTTAAAAACATTGCTTCTGATTGTTTCAATCTTTCGTCACCAAACCGCATGTCCAAGTGTGTTATGACGATATGGCAGTGGCGTTGATTTGTTTAGCGTCAATACAGTGCGTTTATCGTCCACAGCTTTTGTGTGAAGCAGCTTGCTGTTCATTGATATATGATTGGAATGGTTTAATTCAGCAAATAAGTGATATGTGATACGGAAAACGCCGTGTCACACACTTTAACGTTTGAGCATGCTGAAATGTTCCATGATTTTTACGGTATATGGGACGCACTGATTATTGAGTATCAATGACTGGTCTTGAATGTACATACAGAAATATGGGTTGATTCCTCCAACAAAGTGAAATATTACTGTAACATTGTTGTTATCCTTGTTAAAGTTCTTAAAAATTCCATGTTTCCACTGACTTGCATAACTGTATGCAGAAATTGCGTAAACACTCATTAGCTCAATTAGTCCCAACAATTAAGTCGTGCTACAGTACTTTAACAGTTTCTGCTCTAATGCCTTTTATTGTTATCAGAAACAATAAGATTCTGTACCATTATCAACAGTTTTAACTTTAGGACAGTTATAGAGCACATCGTATGTGACACCAGCTTCTAGAACAGCAATTGTATTTGTCCTTGTCACAATCGCCCTTGACAATATTACTAGTACATAAAATTGGCCGTTTATTACGAGGCAGTTTAGATATTGGTCTATCACGTGAGGTCACTTGTCGTCGTCATTAACTTATTTACACATTAAAACATCCTAGTAAAATGTTTATGCTTGTAATTTGTGTGTTAACTGGTTCGATGAATGAAAGTTTCCGGGATGGTATCATCCGCGACAGAACCATTCCCTATCATTAGGTTTAGCCCTACATCAGGTAATTGGCAGTTTCCTCTATAGCCCGTCAAAAATATTGATTCGCACCTGTTGTACCTGTAGTTTGTGTGTATCATAATCGTAATAATTCGAGCTAGAGATAGCCAGGTGCTGTCTAAGCTGCTTAGGTCTTGTCTAGTCGCTGGTTTGTTTTAGTGGCGTGATAAATGATTGTTTGTTGAAGGTTGTACAGGAGTATGGATATTGTTGAATACTTATCTGTTTCGTTAGCACTAATCAGGCAGCAAGATAGAGTCGTATATAATATCATTAATACTTTAGTTTAAATGGGCGAGACAACAAAGCACGAATGGTTCGAATTGTATCAAATTATACAGTACAGTTTTTCATGAAATGTGTTAGCTCAGCTTTCTCTGGTCTTTAGTCCTGTGTATATCCACTGATATGATACCTCCTATTAATGAAAGACCATGTGTATTGGTATGTTATCTATTCATGTAAGTTCTATCTAGCACATTTTATTTATTGTTTTTCTCTGTTTCAAATGTTTCAAGAAACTTCCGACAGTATACGTGTTTTCCAGGTCTGTATCACGTATGATTGTTTGATTTTTTTTGTAACTTTATCGCAAGGTTGACTTGTTACTTCGTAGAAACCTAATGTTATATGACAAGTTAAACACTACACTAAATGACGTGTTACACTGTGACGTAGAACATACATACTGAGATAAGCCAGCAGTAGAAATATTTATGTATAATATTCGAAAACTAAGATAATGTGATGAAAATATCATAACTTCGTGTTAACATCACAGGGCAATGAAATTAGTAAGGCTTGTTGGAATAAAACATTCGTATGACAGTTCCCTATATGGTATGCAAAGTGGAGAGGCATACAAGCATAAGTACTGTATGACTTACTTAACACCTGTGTGGTCTACAACTCACTAAAACTCAAGCCGGATCCTTAGAGTTTCCTATTTCAACCAGCGATATATATATAGTAAATCCCAATATCTTTTGAATGGGAAAAAGGCACGTGTTAATTATATTATAGAAAGGCAGCTCTTAAACCCCATCGCTTCCCAACACGAACATTCTGTTAGTAGAAAGTTTATATAACACTTGATATGTGAGGAATCACCTTGTGTGTAGTCTGTATATAATATAAAGCCCTTCTGGTAATCCTCCGATATATCTTTCAATAAAGAGCAATGAACGAACAGTATCAAAAAAAGAAATGTTGTTTAACCACAAGGGTAGGGTAAACAGTGTAAGTACAGAAGGAAACGGCAGTCGTCACTTATTGGTTCTGTAACTTAAACTAAAATATCTCTGTAAATTACACTGATATATCCATTAAATTACACTGAATATATCCCTGTGAGTTACACTGATATATCCATTGAATTACACTGAATATATCCCTGTGATTTACACTGATATATCCATTGAATTACACTGAATATATCCCTGTGAGTTACACTGATATATCCATTGAATTACACTGAATATATCCCTGTGATTTACACTAATATATCCATTAAATTACACTGAATATATCCCTGTGAGTTACACTGATATATCCATTAAATTGCACTGAATATGTCCCTGTGAGTTACACTGAATATATTCCATTGAATTACACTGAATATATCCCTGTGAGTTACACTGATATATCTATTGAATTACACTGAATATATCCCTGTGAGTTACACTGAATGTATCCATGTGAACTACACTCAATGTATCCCATTGAGTATTACAAAATATATCCCTGTGAGAGCAATAAATATATTTCTTGTGAGTACACTGAATATATCAACTTGAGTACCTTGTTGTGAATATAATAAATTTAACCCTGTAAGTTACACTGAATACATCCTATTGAATACCTTGAAAATATCCCCGTAAGTAACACTGAATATATTCCAGTGAGTTACCCTAAATTTAACCCTGTAAGTTACACTGAATACATCCTATTGAATACCTTGAAAATATCCCCGTAAGTAACACTGAATATATTCCAGTGAGTTACCCTAAATTTAACCCTGTAAGTTACATCCTATTAATACCTTGAAAATATCCCCGTAATACACTGAATATATTCCAGTGAGTTACCCTAAATAACCCTGTAAGTTACACTGAATACATCCTATTGAATACCTTGAAAAACTGAATATATTCCAGTGAGTTACCCTAAATTTAACCCTGTAAGCTACACTGAATACATCCTATTGAATACCTTGAAAATATCCCCGTAAGTAACACTGAATATATTCCAGTGAGTTACCCTAAATTTAACCCTGTAAGTTACACTGAATATACCCTATAAATAATATAATAAATACTTTATTACCTTGAACATCTTGCTACCTATGCATTTTGCATAGAAATTTACGTTTAGAATTATATGATTAGCTCAAGTCTGACTAGAGGGATGATTTTTGATAATTGATTGTGTGATAACAAATATTATAACATAGTTCCATAAAACGGTTAATTGCTCCTATTGTAAGGAATGGACTTCAATCAAAGTTATTGATATTGTTTGTTGTCAACTTTTTATCGATTTTAAAATTTACCCATGAAATACTCTGAAATGAAATTATGCAATATGTCATCACACAATTCACGTGTATAAAGCCATCCCTTCCTTTTATTGTCATGCAGATAGAAGTTTATGGTCGTTGTGACTGTTGGTATCTCAAACGTTTGGTCTGTCCTAGGTTTCCTTGGATACCTATATAGCTATACAGACATTTTATTACTGCCAAGGGACCTTTCCTTCATAATTCATATGATAATGAAATTTCTCTGGCATCTATCAATTTGAATAAAATTCTTCACAGAGATATCCCTAGGGAAACAGGTGGCGACATACCAACTGATCTCATGATTTCTCGAAAATCACTGAACGTCAGGTTGATATGTATTGAAGAGTTAGACCAGACGGTCATAGAGGAAGTGAATGCTGAACATCAACTTGAATTAAACTGAAAGTAACTGGTATTTTTTTGCTTTTTCTGTTTTAGGTATGATACTTGATTACTAAAAGAGACAGTATGAATTCTACAATTGACCTAAGTACTTATGAGTGTTCCGATGAAGGATTGCTTCTTCCGGTGATCAACGAGTACACATGGAGCATTGGTGCACGTGCATTTCTGTACCTTCTCGGTATGTTATGGTGCTTTCTGGGAATAGCAATAGTAGCAGATACCTTTATGTGTGGAATAGAAAAAATCACCAGCAAGACACGGGTTATTCAGATCCCCGACCCGGACAGTAAGGGTGGGGTCCGAGAGGTGGAAGTCAAAGTTTGGAATGACACTGTTGCTAATCTCAGTCTTATGGCATTTGGAACTAGTGCTCCAGAGATTTTGTTGTCAGTAATAGAAATTTGTGGCAAAGGCTTCAAATCGGGAGAGCTTGGACCGGGAACAATTGTAGGATCTGCTGCATTTAATCTGTTCGCCATAACTGCGGTGTGTTTAGTAGGTATTCCAAACGGACAAGTCCGTAGAATCAGCAATATAGGTGTTTATGCAGTAACCACATGCTTCAGTATGTTCGCGTATATTTGGATGATTGTGGTCCTGATTTTCATCAGTCCTGGGGAAATTAAGTTATGGGAGGCTATCCTTACCTTCCTTATGTTCCCAACGCTTATCCTTGTGTCCTTCGCCGTCGACAAAGGCTGCTGGTGCAGGAAGAATAAGACTTCATCTGAGGTGGAGATTGGAATAGGTAAGTTGGTCTTCCTTTAACGAATACGAATTTTCTTTATAGATATTGTAAATGTCAAGTGGTGTCTCTAACTGTCAAGTCAGCTAAAATTAATATTAATTAATGATTCTAATTGAATATTATACCTATCAATTAAAAAACTAACCGAATATTTTTGTTCAAAGTCAAAAATATGATACATCTTCGAAAGAGATCAGTTCATACCGTTTCTCGTGTCAAACAACACTTTATTTAACTAATTAACTAATTAAGATATTTCATGCTTCCCTTCCCTTCAGAATCATTAGTTTGATCTATAAAGACAATCAAGTACCAAGTCAAAAGCATAACCAAAATTTAATCCACGAAAAATGTATTTATAAATATATATATGAAAGACATCCCTCCCCCTCAAACAAACAAATAATCAAATAATAAAAGCAAAATGAAAAGTTTGAAATAAAGATGATTAAAAAATAAATGGAAAGTTAGAAATAAAATGAAATAAGATAAAAAAAAATCGATGTGCTATTTGGAAAACTATATATACGTATCAGACGATTTGTGTTACTTGTGTATAAGTGCTTTCTGCTAAGAACATTGTGCTACAGGGAAAAACCATATTAATGTTTTAGACGTTATATACTGAGAATGTTGTGCTATAGGAAAACTACATTCGTGTATTTGGCGTTCTTTTGCTAAGCAAGCAGACCATATTAATTTATTAATCATTTCATACTTAGAAGGCTGTACTACAGGTACAAACTGTATTCTTGTATCAGAAGTTGTGTACTGAGCGGGTTGTGCTACAGGGACAAACCATATTAGTGTAATAGGTGTTTTCTATGAAGGAAGCAGTGCGACAGGTACAAATATCATTCGTGTATTCGATGTTTTGTACTTCGCATGCTGTCGTATAAGGTACAAACTTTATTAGCGTATTAAGCGTTTGTACTTCGCAGGCTGTCCTATAATGACAAACTATATGCGTGTATTAAGCGTTTGTATTTCGCAGGATGTCGAATAAGGACAAATTATATTCGTGTATTAGGCGTTTGTATTTCGCAAGATGTCGAATAAGGACAAATTATATTCGTGTATTAGGCGTTTGTACTTCGCAGGCTGTCGAATAAGGACAAATTATATTCGTGTACTAGGCGTTTGTACTTCGCAGTCTGTCCTATAATGACAAACTATATTCGTGTATTAGGCGTTTGTACTTCGCAGGCTGTCGAATACGGACAAATTATATTCGTGTATTAGGCGTTTGTATTTCGCAGGATGTCGAATAAGGACAAATTATATTCGTGTATTAAGCGTTTGTACTTCGCAGGCTGTCGAATAAGGACAAATTATATTCGTGTATTAAGCGTTTGTACTTCGCAGGCTGTCGAATAAGGACAAATTATATTCGTGTATTAGGCGTTTGTACTTCGCAGGCTGTCGAATAAGGACAAATTATATTCGTGTATTAGGCGTTTGTACTTCGCAGGTTGTCCTATAAGGACAAACTGTATTCGTGTATAAGGCGTTCGTACTTGGGCTGTGTTTTTAAACAATCTTTACCTCAGGTAACAAACTTCTTGTATTAGGCGTTTTGTCCCTTGATTTTAAACCGATTTCTTAAATAGTTTGTGTACTACGGATATGTAATAACAATCACACGACAAAACCAGTACAAACCAGTACATGTATACTTTTAAATGGAACGAACCTACGTACTTAACTGGCACTATAGATTATCGAGATCTCTATTATAGATACCAGTTCCGTTCACACACTGATATCGAACAAGTTTGGTCTAACATGGCAACTGTCTAGATGTTGATTGACCACATTCCAATGATAGACTTGTTTTGGATGCCCTGATATGGTGTCCGGTACCTGTTGCTGTGATTTATCAGAGTCCGATCATGTTGGACCTGTATTGGCTGGCCTGATTTGGTGCCGGGTACCTGTTGCTATAATTAATCAGATTCCGATGAAGATGGACCTTTTATTGGCTGTCATGATATGGTGCCGGGTACCTGTTGCTGTGATTGATCAGAGTCCGATCATGTTGGACCTGTATTGGCTGGCCTGATTTGGTGCCGGGTACCTGTTGCTGTGATTGATCAGAGCCCGATGAAGATGGACCTGTATTTGCTGGCCTGATTAGGTGCCGGGTACCTGTTGCTGTGATTGATCAGAGTCCGATGAAGACCTTTCATTGGCTGGCCATATATGGTGCCGGGTACCTGTTGCTGTGATTGATCAGCGTGCGATCATGTTGGACCTGTATTGGATGGCCTGATTTGGTGCCGGGTAACTGTTGCTGTGATTGATCAGAGCCCGATGAAGATGGATCTGTATTGGCTGGCCTGATATGGTGCCGGGTACCTGTTGCTGTAATTGATCGGAGTCCGATGAAGACCTTTTATTGGCTGGCCTGATATGGTGCCGGGTACCTGTTGCTGTGATTGATCAGAGTCCGATCATGCTGGACCTGTATTGGCTGGCCTGATTTGGTGCCGGTTACCTGTTGCTGTGATTGATCAGAACCCGATCATGTTGGACCTGTATTGGTCTGATATGGTGGCGGGTACCTGTTGCTGTGATTGATCAGAGTCCGATCATGTTGGACGTGTATTGGCTGGCCTGATTTGGTTCCAGGTACCTGTTGCTGGGATTGATCAGAGTCCGATGAAGATGGACCTTTTATTGGCTGTCATGATATGGTGCCGGGTACCTGTTGCTGTGATTGATCAGAGTCCGATGAAGATGGACCTTTTATTGGCTGGCCTGATATGGTGCCGGGTACCTGTTGCTGGGATTGATCAGAGTCCGATGAAGACCTTTTATTGGCTGGCCTGAGAGGATTTTTGATATGTGTCCGTAACGTCATATTGATTGCAGACTTGTTATGAGCACTTTACCAAGGCGTCATTCGCGATGTATAATTTATTAAATACGAGGCATCCTCCAGACTTTCACGCCATTTATACCATGTTCTTTGTTAAGTAGATAGTTATCAGATAAGGGACGTCCACAGACAGTAGGTTATCTTAACATGTAGAACACAGTGTTCTCCAAACATGCTCTACATAGTAAAGTACAATCGACATTTGACATGAAAAAATCTTTAACTTTGCATTTGCTTCTGTGCTTAATAGCCACTTTTAAAAAGCGCATGGAATTCATGTAAACACCATTTTTAACATTAAGTGTCAAATGTATGTCACAACTGGGATGTAGTTTCCTGCAGTCTAACCAATAATTGAAATGATGCTTCATGAAATAGTTAAGTGCATACGGGATGGCATCCTAAGTTGGTGGCCATAACATATACAAAAATATCACAGCAATCTGCAACCATTATACGAAACACAAGTACCATTCAGAACATGGAATTGTCGATGTGTCAATATTCGAAGAAATACTGTGAGACTTTCACTGAAAACATCTATTGTGAATTTTAGACTAGAAAATGTTTTTGAGATATAACAATTAAAACGATCGCTTTCGTTACCTCTGTGTTCTGTGCCTTCGTTTTTATTCTAAACACAATAGATCATAATTCTTTCGGAGTTATAGTGAAACACCTTTATTTACGTGGAATCCAATTCAAAGGAAACTTGACGAATTAGACACGTTCAAGAGGAGGAATTTCTCCATAACTTCGCACATCGAAATATTTGTTTTCTATCCCCTTTGATCACTGAAAAATTGGGATAGTGTTTAGCTGTTACGTATATTTGAACTTTTTTTTCTGACAACTCACTTTCTCCTAGTTACACCCAAAGACATATGCTATATACAGATACATCGTTCACAAGCTGTCCAGCCTGTTATTTTCCCTATAACAAGGACATCACGGAAAACAAAGTATAGGGTATAGGTGGTTATAATTTGGTCAAGGTCCTTTCCCAAGGGTTTTGTTTAATTATCTGTGAAGTAATAAATTTACGAATCTCTCTTTGCAATACTATCCGATTACACTTCCCGAAGGAAAAGACAATACTTGATTTAGTACATGGAATGTCATTAGAAAATTGGAACTTAAAACAGCCAAATTAACCTGTAACAGGACTCGTCTTCTGAACGTACTAATCACGTATGATAACTGTAAATATGTGACATGACTCTTCATTTCCGGTCATTTTGACATCTTGGAAGGTATAGTCGCTAAGTCATTAGAGAAAGAGTGCCACAAGCGTGATAGAATAGTGACAAGGGCAAATTGGTCACTTCAACTTAGAACTGGTCATGATACTTCACATTTAACATGATACTACACATGTATATATTTACTTCTACAATATGTTATCTGTAAAACATTAGTTATACAGTATAGTTATCTATAAAATATTAGTTACTCAGTATAGTTATTTATGAAATATTGCGATTTCTACAGTAGGGTTATCTATGGAAGAATGTTACTTGTGCAGTATGATTAGCTATGGAAAAAAATTGCCTGTGCAGAGTGGTTATCTATGAATAACTGTTGTACTTGTGCAGCATGGTTTCGATTATCTGCAGAACAATATTACTTATTAAGTATAATTATATATAAAGTAATACTATTTGTGCAGTATGGTGATACAACGAAGTGTTATTACAACGACTTGTGCAGGATGCAGTTTGTACATAATGTTATATGAAATGTTTGTTACGTATGCAGTTAAGTCATCAGTGAAGTATTCTTACTTGTAAAGTGTAAATGTATACAAAGTATTTTTATAGTAGTATAGTTATAGAAGGTTATAAAGAACAATAGTTCACGACAAACTACACAGAACATCACGGTTGCGTCAGCTGCAACAGAATTAGGTCGTCAATTCTCAGTGGATATTAAAAAATCGATTCAAAACAAAAGGAACATAGTTTTCCCAATTGTCTTATCATCGCCATTCGTGTGTCTAATTGGAATACATTATTGACAGCAGTCACGTAGTGCAGTCTGTTTGTACTTTGTTATATACAAGGTATGTGACTGCAAGAGTGCCTTCATATCACAATCTAAACTTCTAAGTATACAGCGTAAACACGAGAGATTGGACATACCTACCTACCTCACCTTGGGATAATCCGTTTAAACAAAAACGCTCAAATAATTAAGTAAAATGGTGACTTTTAAGGTTAAGCATAATATTACGTATAAAACTAATGTTAATTATTGATTTTATTGTCTATGTTAAATACAAATCGGATATTTCCATGGTGGCTTAAAGTAGAAATAGATCAATTAATCTATAACACCCTTTACAGATGTGGCGCCATGCCTATGCGATACTAGCTTATATGCCATAAACACAGTTATTTAAAACAAAAACGTGTTAAAATACTAAAATGACTAAACTGTTTGTTGTGAGAACACCTATTTGTGACAACCATTTTTGTGGTAACAGCGCGCGGAATGATGTTTATTGTTTTATTGGTGTTTCTCTATCTTTGCTTCCATTACAGGCTATAAGGACAACCGAGGTATCATTTACAACAGGGGTTATCAACATGAGGGTTATACAATATTACAACATGTACAGGGTTCATTTACAGACATGTGTAAGGGGTTATCATTTACATTGGGGTTATCATTTACAGACATGGGGTAATGGGTTACAGAAATATGTAAAGGGTTATATACAGAAATTGTAGGGTTAATTTACAGACATGTGTGGGTTATCATTTACAGACATGTAATGGGTTATCATTTACAGACATGTAATGGGTTATCATTTACAGAAATATGTAAAGGGTTATCATTAACAAACACCTGTAAAGAGTTATCATTTACAGAAATATGTAAAGGGTTATCATTTACAGACATGTAATGGGTTATCATTTACAGACATGTAATGGGTTATCATTTACAGACATGTAAAGGGTTATCATTTACAGTTATCATTTACATGTAAAGGGTTATCATTTACAGACATGTAATGGGTTATCATTTACAGACATGTGTAAGGGGTTATCATTTACAGAAATATGTAAAGGGTTATCGTTTACAGACATGTGTAAGGGGTTATCATTTACAGACATGTGTAAGGGGTTATCATTTACAGAAATATGTAAAGGGTTATCATTTACAGACATGTGTAAGGGGTTATCATTTACAGACATGTGTAAGGGGTTATCATTTACAGAAATATGTAAAGGGTTATCATTTACAAACACCTGTAAAGAGTTATCATTTACAGACATGTAATGGGTTATCATTTACAGAAATATGTAAAGGGTTATCATTTACAGACATGTGTAAGGGGTTATCATTTACAGAAATATGTAATGGGTTATCATTTACAGACATGTAATGGGTTATCATTTACAGAAATATGTAAAGGGTTATCATTTACAGACATGTAATGGGTTATCATTTACAGACATGTAATGGGTTATCATTTACAGAAATATGTAAAGGGTTATCATTTACAGACATGTAATGGGTTATCATTTACAGACATGTGTAAGGGGTTATCATTTACAGACATGTAATGGGTTATCATTTACAGACATGTAATGGGTTATCATTTACAGACATGTGTAAGGGGTTATCATTTACAGACATGTGTAATGGGTTATCATTTACAGACATGTGTAAGGGGTTATCATTTACAGAAATATGTAAAGGGTTATCATTTACAGAAATATGTAAAGGGTTATCATTTACAGAAAGTAAGGGTTATCATTTATATGTAACAGGGTTATCATTTACATATGTAAAGGGTTATCATTTACAGACATGTGTAAGGGGTTATCATTTACAGACATGTGTAATGGGTTATCATTTACCGACATGTAATGGGACATGTAAAGGGTTATCATTTACAGACATGTGTAAGGGGTTATCATTTACAGAAATATGTAAAGGGTTATCATTTACAGACATGTAATGGGTTATCATTTACAGACATGTAATGGGTTATCATTTACAGACATGTAATGGGTTATCATTTACAGAAATATGTAAAGGGTTATCATTTACAGACATGTAATGGGTTATCATTTACAGACATGTAATGGGTTATCATTTACAGACATGTGTAAGTTACAGACATGTGTAAGTAAGGGTTATCATTTACAGAAGAAATATGTAAAGGGTTATGTTTATCATTTACAGAAATGTGTAAAGGGTTATCATTACCCTGGGTTATCATTTACAGAAATATGTAAAGGGTTATCATTTACAGACATGTAATGGGTTATCATTTACAGACATGTAATGGGTTATCATTTACAGACATGTGTAAGGGGTTATCATTTACAGAAATATGTAAAGGGTTATCATTTACAGACATGTGTAAGGGGTTATCATTTACAGAAATATGTAATGGGTTATCATTTACAGACATGTAATGGGTTATCATTTACAGAAATATGTAAAGGGTTATAATTATTATTGTGTTTTCTGGAGTCCTGAAACGTTTCTTATTAAAAACAAAAAGATATGGCCTGTTCTCAACCTAGGCAACTCGGAAGATTTACTCTCTTTAAAAGGATTAGATAGAAGACCTGTGTAGGTACAGTGTCTGTGAAAGAGTAGTATAGCTCGTCGTATTTCCTGTTATATCTTTCTTGAACAATATTGTTTATGTTTCATTTGTTTGCTCCATATTTCTTTTGACCTCTAGATCCAGGTCGGAAAGTTGCTTTTTTATCAGTTCTCGATCTCTGTCAGACTGACGTCCTTGTCTTGATTCTGAGTTTTGAGGTTGAAATCGTATGAATGCTGTGGTCCGTGTGACTTTTTTTCCGTAGCGAGTCTTGCCAAAGTTCTGAAATATGTTTCTTCCTTTATGCATTTTCTTTCCGTTGGTATGCGTCGTTAGCTTTGAAATAGGGTTTTTGTTTTATAGAATGTAAAATTGGTTAGTTTAAATTTATTTTCAGTTTTAGTTTCTCCAGCTCACTTCTCCCCGTCCTTATCCATCCAATGTCTCGCTCTCTTGGATCAAGTAACCTTACCACTGTTTCCTGACGATTGCCGGCCGACACAAGCAGTCGACAGCCTTTCTCTCAGCTGGAAGTCGTCCTACAACGGAGTTTCATCGCAGCTCTACAATACCCGCTCCAAGTGTAATTGGCTTGTCGTGGTTTCGTTAAAACTATTCATAACGTTGAATCTCATCTTTTCAGGATGTAAATTTAGAATTGATGTGAAGATCTCCCGCTGTCTTCAAAAGAAATATATCATGGGATATTCGAATGTCGATATCATGACAAAGCCAATGTTTATTGAAGATGTGAAAACATTAACATAGAAGCTGCAGCGTGCATTGTAGTTAATGGGGTTAGCTACTACCCCGGGACAGTACACGACAGCCATCTTCAGCATGCGTTCCTAATGATTTGGCACATGTTCATTACCCTTCTCACCGCTTTTTATAGCATTATAGCATGAAAAGCACGATTCCAAGCTTTGATATCGATCTGTATCACTGATGACACAACCATATTCTACTTCACTCACTTTGTTTAAGAAATTGTACAAAAAGATACAGAAGTGCTCATCACTTTTCAATACAGATTTAGGAATAGAAAGAGTAGAACCAAATAATGAATTTCAGACTTAGCATCGAACTTGTTCCCCTTCGTGTGCTTGAAATGACTGCAGTTTCGGATCAAAATTTCTAAACCAAATGCAAAATTCATTTCCGCCCGGTGAGAGCACACATGGAAAAAAGGCCACCTAGTCTGATGAAATTCATCCATTCAAAACCGAATAAGGACGTCAAGCTTCAGGCTAAAGTTATTTTTGTTCTTTAAAAGGTACAAAGACACTTTGGCATTAGGGTCTACTGTCTACATAGATTATATATATTCGACAGAAATAACTAGTATACATATATCAGGTACGTCACTCCGCCAGATCTGCCCTTCAACCAGTGACGAAGGTCAATCCGCCTTGCCCATTTGGGTAGACATGGACAAAATCGAAATAGATGTCTGCGGCGAGATAGTTCTACAGTCTGACTAGCAGTGCACGACATGTTCCGGACAGCTTTTTAACCAATATACATCAACATTTCCTAGCAAATCTGACCAACGTTTACATTTTATTCCGAAAAAAGTTCGATCAACGAATATGTATACCAAATATGTCCAAAACATATTTGTTCTTTCTACAACATATTCTTAACAGCAGACCTATACTACGAGCTTCTAAATAAATGTTTCTAAACAATCTTTTTATCTATTTTATGATATAATTTAGGTCTAGGTTACATAAAACGATGTGGTTTCTACTTACCAGCAACGGATATCCATAGTGAAGATTACTATTATTGTCATACCGTAACCTCGATCTGGTTAATCTATGCCAGTTCTGGACAGATTGTAAATTAACTAAGATGATGCTTAACGCATGTTTCGAAAGGGATGTGGTATGGTAACACTATTTAGCTACTTCTATTTGAGAGCCAATTGAACAATTCCAAAGCAAGATGTGTTATATATGATTCATCAGTCGGTGTTCTGAGCTAGTAAAAATTACTTACGAAGTCGTAATTAAAACTCAAGACCGATGAAACGAGAGGAAAACCACGACAAAAATGTCCAGTGGACTAGATAGTTCCACGAGGAACCATTAATTGTACGTTATGTCGAAATAATTCTCAACGTCAATTCTATCATTGTTGATTTGCTGCCATGTGGATGTGATAGAGCTATACAGTCCCCTGTCCCCTTCCCATTCCCTTCCTCATTCCGAAAAAAACTCTTTATTAATTAACATTCATTATGTACACGTAATTACTACTCCCAAACTTATTGCTCCTCTCATATTAGTGACAAAGAACTTGCCTGTTATTTATGTACAATGTCCATTAGCATCCTCTTAATGTCCACTCCTAATGACGTCAGCCAATTTTTACTCCTAGATACGTCAAAATGTGATTGGTTATGGCGGATATGTATCTAGCACACACAGCGCATGCGCGCGTGAAACATTAATCAATGGATCACAAAAACATTTAAGGACAGGATTTAATCCGACGGAACACATTCCTTGTATTCCTCATCATTGCTTATGTTTACCCGTTACAGCATTTTTTTTTATGCCCATTCCCTAAATAAGACAAACATTATGTCAATCAATCACCATTGCTAGGCGGTGTCCAGGTATTGATAATATGTTTAATTTTAACAAACAAACCAATGTTTGTAACGCCCAATTAGGGTTCTACATTTTATATGATTTATTCAAACATGCAGCAGTCATGGTTTCTGTAAACAAGACGGGGCGTGTGTTGACAACGATAAAGTACGCGACAACAATAGAAACAACACAGAAAGCAATTATATATACGTTAAGACGACCGTCACGCAACATTCTTAAAAAGCCCAAGGAATAATAGATTTTCAAACATGTAAAACGAACATCATTTGCATTTTTATTTTCTCGGTTCGCTAATCAACCCACGAAAACTATGGGAAAGGCTTATACGTAATCAATCTAAAGCTAAGTTTGCAGAACGTAGACTAAACAACCTCAGGTGTTAATCCGAGAGGTGTGTGGTTCGACGCTCCCTTCCCTTGGCGGTTTGTGCTCCTGTCTCTGTCCAAGATACTTTTCAGTGCTTGCCCTGAATGGCAAAGGACATCCCTCTCGTATGTTATTCAGTGAGGTAGCCACCAGCTACTAAAAGAAAATTTACGCCTAAAATCATTGGCCGTTCAGGTCGATAAACCCGACATACAAGCATCCTGCAGTTGCTTAGCGATGACACAAACTGTTTTATAATCGTTCAATTTTACAACAAACTGCAATGACTCTGTAGCCACTGAACTACAATGCTGGTTAGTTACGGTCACATGGTCACATGGCTGTGGTCAGTCTTTATCTTTATAGGTTGAATTGCATTTAAAGAAGGAAGAACCAAAATAAATTTCCGTGAACATTTCGCACTCAACGGATGGGAGACTACAAAGCATCTGTCACACAGGTTCACAGTTACACTTATAGAAAATCCATACCCTCAATCATGTGGAACGGCTCCCTCGACATCCGTATACCATGACAAGTATTGCATATGGGTACAATATGAGTACCAGCATTAACACAACATGTGCAAAGAACTGTGAATGATACCTGGTGTCCTCCTTTGTCAGTGTGTTTACTTCCACAGGTCAAATATTTACAAGTGATTGTACTTGTTATGATGTTGGCAGTCTGTTCTACACATACATATATACGCCTGGCATGATGTAATCACGCTGTGGAATAATAATCAAGCTTTGCTCAACTGCAATGATTGTTTGGCTATAAAACCTCTGTTTTCTATACCATATCTGTCTCAAGTATTTTATCTGTGGGCAATTGTACAGATTTATTGGGTTTGTTTAGTTGTTATACATGCTAAGCAGCGATCTTGTTTCTCACAAATCTATTAGCATTACTAATAACCAATTTCAACCTACATTTGATTTATAACACAATATTGTCAAATATTTCGAATTGTTGCTATCTGCCCTACATTTACCTTGTTTTTATTGACAGATTTAATCAATAAAATCAATGTTTCACGAATGCGCACCGTTATGGTCTTTTAATATCAACTTATTGACAAGCATGTCATTATCGCCCTCTGTGTATTGCAGATTTTTCTAATAGCGATGACAAGAGTCGAGGCGAAGCTGAAGGCGGAACCGGAACTGCAGACATTATACACATGGCGCGAGAGTTAGGGCGGAACAAGGACCTCAGCGAGGAAGATGCAGCAAGGCTTGCCGCTGCCAAACTGGCAGAAAACCAGCATCACAGCTCCTTATGGTACAGAATACACGCCACTCGGAATATAACTGGCGGCCATAAATTGGTGCCACAGATCAACAAGGCGCTACAGGAAGTAAGTGATCGTGTAGACACGTATTCGGTCAAAATGGCATCGCATGTACACCGTAAACAGTACTACGAATTCAAGAAGCGTAAATTTCAATTTAAAATCTTTGAAAATAAAACAACTAATTGAAATGTTCCTTTTTGTCGGATTAACCGTTGAATGCGTTTTGGGGATAGAGCCGTGATCTCTGCCAAATACCCTGAAATTTCTCTATTATACCAACTTTCGATTTTGTTGTTTCGGTGCGTGAATGAATATTTTTTAACGAGTATCCATACATTTTCAATTATATTGAAGTCTTGTGACTGAGCAGGCCAGCGGAAAGATTTGATATTATTTCTGTCCTCATATTCTTGTGTTTATGTAAACCTGGCTCGGTGGACGGGCGCATTATCATCATGAAAGAAATACCCATGTTGAGGCGAATGTCTTTCACGAACAAGCCACAAGTTCCCTCTAAGATGTTCTGGTGCTTAACAGCACTGATGTTTCCTTCTACTAGAGTCATAGTTCCGATATCATTCCATAGGATGCAACCACATATCATTGCTTCAGTCCTCTGAGGATTTCCATCCTTCTTCTTTTCTAATCTCTATATTGGAACTATTTCGTCGTGTCCAATTATAATTTCACCACTGTCTCTCCCCCGACAGCAAGAGAGCTACTTCCTAACGATATTATTTCATTATAGCCAGTTTATTTTGGTAGCATTCCTCCTGTAATTTTTCTAAAGCAAAGTGTTGTCCATTTACTTACATGTTCTGGTTTCTTCCGTCGTTAACATTTGCCGTAACGAAAGTGAACAGCTACTATTTGTTTACACAGTCCTTTCCAACATCCGATAGTCACGGGGTTGATTTTTGGGTGCCGGCCGCTTCTCGGTTTGTTGTCGACAGATCTCGTGTCAGAAAATTTCCGACAAACACCAATCACAGTTGAATTAGGTAGTTTCAACATTTCACCAATTTTCTTTCTTTTTTTTTTCGTTCTGCAACAGCTCCACAAGGACTTTCTTTTAATATCTAACCCACTTTACTTTTACTTCGCGACCAATATTTTTACATTAGATGCATTCCTTTTTTAATTTGTAAACAAGACCATTTTACTTCCTATGACTAGAAAATAACAGGACAAGGTCATTTTATTTTAACTTTCCTTTAAGCCTAAACACGCTCTCATTTATAATCGAATACTTTTTTATATGTGTCTGTATATGGTCGTCAGCACTATCTAAGCCAAATGAGAATTTCCGTTTGATAGGACTTTGAATTCGCAGAAACCAATTTGAATGTAGATGGATTAAACTTGGATTATTTATTCTTGTCAGTAGCTAACAGTTCACAGCGAATGACCAGTATTCTCTGCTTTGACAGTTATGTTAATTTTAAGCGCAATGAAAAATGAAAAAAAAATGAAAATCATTATGAGCTTTAGACAATTTTCGCAATGGTCATTTGAGGTCGGGGATTACGAATACAAAAGCTTTGACAATAGAAGAGATTTATGCAGAAAGTGTAAACAAATACAGAAAAGAAATACACATAATAAGTACCAGTGAGCCATGAATCTCCTGAACCATGACCAAACCCAAAGCAGTACATTGAGTATCAATTTGTATTAAATAATAATCAATCAGTAGAACTCAAAACTTATTAACCAATATTAAAAACCAAATATTCTGTTAATCTGTATTTGCAAAGATCTCGGAAACACATACAGACATATTTCTCATCTGAAATAGAATCCGCGACAATGTATTGATACATTTAAACTTACACGCGACTAATCGAGGTTTTCACGTTTATATGGTATTTAAGAAATATAAATAATATAATTTACACTTTATGCGTATAGATATACACATGATATGCAATGTATTTTGTTATCACATGAATATATGCCACCAAAGATATATAACTGATCTTTTTTCAGATTTCGTTTTTTCCGAATTCATCACGAAAACATTGGTAGATGTTATCATTCAATTAAAACCGTTTTGACATATTGTGTTACAATATTACATCTTCTCAGGGCATCTGGCATTTGAACAATCAACAACACAGTTTTGTCTATTGGTTTATTTTTATTGGAGTACGTTTTCTGCGATCTGGATTCTGGCTTTGTTAGGTATCAAATGTAATGTAACATAAAAATGTGACTTTTATATACGTTTGCACAGACTGATGGCAGAATCAGGTCGCCAGGTACATTTGAGACAGTTTGCCTATTGCTAATGTCACAACCTGTTATAGTTCACGAGTTCTTTATGGATGAATTGTATTTTTTATGTTGCTGAGCCATTGCACAAAAATGGAGTATACTCTAAATAAAGGCTAAGAGGGCACGTCATTCCTTGAATTATGGATCAATACCATAAAACATAATTACATCCTTATTCTAACCACATATATTAATGATTTTACATTCGTAACGGCTCTTTTCCTTGATAATTTCTTTCATGGCCGCATTGGCTAATCTAATGGGAAAACATTTAAAATATGACCAATACAATTCTTGTTTCATAGAGGATTGGATCATATATGTAGGTTTTATTTCATTCAATGTGTCTGCGTAAATAGACCCTCTAATTAACTGTCTTTTACTGACTTGTTTCTGTGAGATATTGTTACAGAGCCCTACTAACCAATTGCAATCAATGCTAAAAATAAAAATGTCGTTTTTTATGTTCAAGATGATCATAAAGAAAATCAGTAAAGTGTTTGGAACTCTTTGTATTCACTCACATCGTACTCTTTCACACAGCTCTACGAGCAGTCACAGGACAAAATAGCCCGTCAAACAACCGAATTGGGATCACGTCAAAGTCTGTCCATGATAGATCTGACGGAAGGCGGAAGCAAGGCCGTCATCGAGTTTACAGCGCCCTCGTGTGCAGTTCTGGAAAATGAAGGAAATGTTCGCATTGGAATACGAAGATACGGCTGTTGTAAAAATCCCATCGATGTATGGTAAGTTCATGTTTACATCCTCGATACTCCAGATGTTACGACAACTGGAACATGCCATGACAAATTGAAGGTTCCATGTTCAACACCTTTTGGATAAGGCGAAAAGACTAGATTCTTTGTACATCAAACGAATCTCGAGGTAGCATAACAGTACATTGCAATGGCTTTGAATGTTGGATGCCGCTCCTGTGCAAGCTTCAAAAGGAGCGTATCAGCCTGTGATTGGTCAGTTTCTTTTCTGTTTGGACCAATCAAATTACTTCTCTTGTGCATTCATTTTCGCCATGTCATGTTCCAGGAGTGCAGAGAACGAAAGTAAGCGTAACCCCTGGAGTATCGTGGATGGAGTATTTAAACCTAATTGGGACTTCGGATATATACTAAATAATGTACATTATTATATTATATCAAATTACATTTTTCGATAGTCGACATATCTTTTGTCAATACTAGAAGTGTTATAGCCTCTAAGCCTGGCCAAATATTAGTATTACAATGTTATTCTTTACCTGATCATCGATTGAGTCTTAACTGGAGAAGATTTAGTGAGGTTTACCAAGCTATATCATCGAACTATTTGTTTGGGATAACCAAATCTCTGTTTCTCACTGAAACATTTCAAAAGTTAATTCTGTTACATTGCCAAATGCCAAACATTGTCAATGAATATTCAAATATTTAAGAATCAATTAAGAGAGAAATATGAGAACCCTAGGTTTCTTAAGATTTCTGAACACTTAACAAGTTATTTGATATTGTTAAACCAAATCAAGACATATTTGCAGTCTCCTTGTGAGGAAACACATGGCGTGAATCTCAATATCAAGAATCTAATCGCTTGATATTTGAAATAATCTTCTCTTCGATAGGCTCAACATTAAATGTCACCTAAAGAAGAAAACGAATCGACAAATAAATGCCGTTGTACATAACTCAACGGTTCTACTTTTCTTCCTCAGACATGCCAATAATTCCAAACTAATTGAGTCTGACATTGAGAAATCCCACCTTTGGAAGGATATTGTCAGCCTTACATATTTTCAGATAATTGAATATTTCTTCACGACAGCCAGACTTTGAAACAAGTAATTCTATTCCATATCAAAACATTGAAGTCATGTCTTCTTTGGATTACATTTGAGTTTTGAACATCTGGCCGTTTAAACAATCACAAACTGATGGAAATTCTGGCAAATGCCGATTTGTTACAAGCGTTCCAGTGGACATTGATATCTAATCTAATAATTTCTCGTTAGGTTTTATTGAAAGCGGAAAACGAAAATTATGAATGATAGCCGCAGTTCTAAAAACTAAGTCTATATCTGTTTGAAAATTGAAATGGATATCTCGATGCTGCTTTAGATCAATTCGAACATCAAATTACTGCGAAGTAGCACATGTAATGATACTAGATTGTGCTCATAGAAAACATGGTTCATTTGATACAATCCACTTAGTAAAACTCCAGAAATGCGCACCAGCAGACTCCACCAACAGCAGACGTTGATTCGTTTTTTAACTTTTTCCTAGGATCTCTGGCAGTTATTATTCAAATGTTTAAGAAGGAATTAAATGAGAAGAATGCGATTACTGTATTTGCTTAACTAAACACGTCACAAGTCATTTCATATTGTTATGCCAAATCAAGATAAATTTATAGTTCGCCACATAATGGTGTAACCCCGTGTAAGATAACACACAGCATGGTTTCTTTCTGATTTGTGGTTATGAGACATAGATTATTCACATTTTTTGTCTTTCTGTAATAGATATTGTATTGTTTCTGAATGGATACCAGTTTTTCGGTACATGATTGAAAATCTCTTAACTATTCGCTATTGAAAATATGTATATCTTCTGTAAATTTGTAGCCGAGTTCTCCGCGACATTTTCCTCGCCATCCTTAAGTGACCACAGATATTTATACAGATAGGACGTTAAACCACAAAAAGTAGGACGTTAAGCAATATAAAACCATCATCGATGTTACATTTCTCCTTTATCAAATATTTATCTATAAACACATTCTCGTATGCTGTTACGGCGTGCTTGTGCATCCCTGTGTCCTAAAATAGTTGTAGAAAGGGCTTTGGTGCCGTTGTTCTTACTGTTTCCACGGCAGACTTAATCAATTGAAATAAAATGAATTATACAGATATCCAATAATTAAAGTTTATATCTAATACCTTTACCTAGGGTGGTCGGGTGGCGCAGTAAAAACGCACCCGCCATTCACCTAGTCGTCCAGGGTTTGATTTCCGGAACGGTCTTGAAAAGGTAGGGGGGCACATGTCCGGTCACGTTGGTTTCTCATGGAATTATTTTGTACCGCCTATGTTCATACTTATACTACCTTTTTTTGAACATTTCTGCTTAAATATGAAGAAACATGGTTATTACTTACAGGGTAGAAACTATTGACGGAACGGCTGAAGCGGGAAGTGACTACAAACCACTGAAAGAAAAGGTTCATTTTAAGGAAAACGAGACTTTACAGACTGTGCACGTAGTAATCGTTGACGATGACGTTTGGGAACCTGATGAGATATTTTTCGTCAAACTTTGGCTTGAGGAGTCAGAACAGGACGTCGTACTTGGCAAGACGGCAATCAATCAAGTCACCATCATTAACGATGACGGTAGGTTTCTTATACAGTATAGAAACTATTGCCAAACACCATTTTGATAAAGCTGCTGACGTCATGAGATTTTAAGACTTCAAAAATGATTAAAGACTGTTTATTGAATGGATGTTTTAATAGAATATTTAATTTCTTTGTGAGCATATGCTATCAAATGATATATTGCGACTATGCGGAGCTTACTCATACTTTTCTTTATTCATTTTCTTATCATCTTTTTTTTTCTCAACAGAACCAGGCAAATTTGAATTTTCAAAGCCTAGCTACATCGTAAACGAGACTTCTGGAAAAGCACAGTTGTTTGTGAATCGTGTCAATGGAGCTGACGGGTCTGTGACAGTGTCATGGAGGACGAGGGATCTGACGGCCGTTAATGCAAAGGATTATATCGGAGGAGATGGTACACTGACGTTTGAGCACGGCGAGACTAGCAAAGTCCTGGTGCTGACAATTCTGGATTCGGGGGTAAGTTCAATTGTGACTTTCTGTTCGACACATCTAAATGTGCTTGACTTGAATACAGAGTAGGACGTATTGGAAGAGGGCAACATTTACATTTAAACTCACAATGCTGTCTGACCCAGTTTCCCGTCTCAAACGTCTTGGAACGTACAAAATAAATAAAATGAATATAGACAACGATAATGCACTGATTGGTTGTCTTGATGATTAGAAACAAGACAACAAGCTCTAAGCTTTGATGATGGCAATCGATTACTGTTTTATATGTGTTTCCATGTTTATTCTTATTGACAGCGTTTGTTGAGCGCCCTCTAGCAAACGTTTCTTGGAAGACCACACCTTCACGACGTTTATAACATGTGAATTAGGTTTAGTGATATACACTTATGTACTTGCATATTAAAGCACACGTGTATATTAGTTGGAATTAGTACGTAGTCCGTCTCTAATTGGAATAAAGCTTTGTGGAGGATCAACCTGCAATAGGGAAAAAGTACAAAGTATGAATAAGGTATTTACATTTCAGTGTATGTCAATACATTGAGTGTAGATTGTATACGTTCTACTGATAGTAGATATAGTATGGAAATGGTGTATGGTGTAAAAAGTGTGGATCAGTCGTGTGTCAATATTAATAAAGTCTGTACTTGTTTAAGATTATCCATATTGTAGAATCACTAGTCACCATCAAATCTAATTATTAGATAGTATAGTGGCTACAATATGGAACCAATAGAAAGTAACTTATATACAGATTGATAATCTTATAGTTATGAATTGTACTCGGGGATTATTGTTTTTGTTCTGTTTGTTTGCCTGTTGTCAACTTTAACGTTGTATATAACTATGGTACTGTATGAAGCAGGGCTTTCATATTTGGCATGTATGTTTCTTGTGATAAGACCTTTTCGGCGGTGGTGATTGACCATGTAACCTTTACCGGGACCTTTGACATACATTTGAAAAAGTTACATTGACCAATTACTATTGCACAATGAAGACATAAATGTCTCACAAGTGTACATGCATTAGCACATGCCTCTCAAATTATAATTTGAATGTCCCACTTTAGAATTTGTTGAAACCGGGAGCATAATGTTTCATAAACATCTCTCTTTTTGTTCGAAATACTGTATCTGTGGCATTAGTGCGGTTCAACATGGTGACCATTTCCTGAAGTTAAGCAACGGCGATCGTGGTCAGCACCCCAATGCACGTTACATTTGGTTGAAAAATATTCCTGCAAATTTGTGGGCGAGAGGGTCTAGTCCTGAGGCGGCACTACTTTGAAAAATAAGAGTGAGAATTGCGTATGCAAAAAACCTAGGAAAAAATATGAACACACGGTTGTTCTTAGGTATGTAAAGTGTGCAAAGAAGGACATTAAGAACAGACTATCAAAAGGTAGAGGTGCTTTTACACGACTAAAATGTGTTTGGAACATCTCGAGGGGAACAAACCTGAGGCTATAAAAATCATTAGTAATACGAGTTTTATTGTATGGATATGAGACGTGGAAAATGAATAAAGAGGATGACATGATGGTTTTCCACAAATGCCTCACAATGATTTACACAGTTCAGTGGAAAGAACACGTTAGAATAGAAGACTTTATAGAAAGAACATAGATGAGACTAGTAAGCGAGGAGACCAAAGCCTTAAATGGAAAATGATTGGAATAGTATGCGGCAGATGAAGAACAACAACTGCAATGTTGCATTAAAATGGGTACCAGAAGGAAACCGGAAAAGTGGGAGACCAGGACGAAATGGAGGAGAATGGAAGAGAAGGTGAGGGATGAAGCTGACTGGAGATCCTGAAAAATAGTACTAACAGTGGCAGTGGACCGGAAGAGATGAAAAACTCGTAAAGGCCATATGTGCCACGAGGCAAAAACGGGATAGGCAGCAGATAAACTATGAACAAAAGACTTAGACTTAGACGGAGACTCCTGGTGTAGTACAAGAAAAATCAGTCCAGATGTTCCGGAAGAGTAAGCGTCTTCTGCTTCATTGACGACACCCACTATATAAGCCTTGGTCAATCCAAGTAAGACATGTCACGTTCTCAGATGAGAACAAGGTATAAACCAACGGGACCGTACAACTCCCCAATAATTTTCAATGGCCTGCATATTTTGTGTTACAAGTTTGTCCTTCAGTTGACGGCGATAATGGGAACGTCGAGAATAGTTAGCACTTGGAAGGGTGACCGCTCCGCTGAATCCCGTTGTATGTTGTACACAATAGTTACCAAGGAAATAAAACATTCAACTAATGGCATCTGTATCTGACTAGGCAACGTCAGTGCTTTAATTTTCTATCACTTCCCAGTGAAGAAATAACAGCTTCACAATTATAATGGTTTATTTAAACAGACACTTAAACATAAAAATTGGCGAGTTTCTCGTTGATCAATCAAGCGGCTTGGTTCCAGGGTACCCCTGAGTGCCTTTAATCGGTATTGGCACTAGCGAGGTTCCATCCCTGACAACTGTCGATAGTTTTAAGAGCTAATACATTATCAAACATGTTACAATGCACTGCGTTATCTCATGCAACAGTTTTTTTGTTTCACAAATAGTTAAAATATTATGCTAATTTAATTAAACGAATGTTGTTTTGTATTTAATTTAGATAAAATGTTATTGTTTTTTACAGCTTGCCGAGAGAGAACATAGCTTTCAGGTGGAATTATTATCACCGACAGGTGGCGCTGAGATAGGAAGGATAGGAAAGGCAATAGTAACTCTTGTAAACGATGAAGGTAAACTGACTTTTTCATAAACAGTAACTCAAATAAATTATTTTCCTCAGAATATGAGTTAATTTCTCAAAATTGATTAATCCCTTGAACAGTAATACGAAGCAACGGATTTTTAGGAATTTCCATGAGTTCAGAACAGCTCGTAAAGCCAATTGAGATTTATCTATAGATTGTGGTCAAATGAAAACACGTATACATGATAGCAATTCAAAATGTAGATTGGTCTCCATACTTCAGGTGTTGTCTTTGATCATTTATGGTAATTGGCATTAAATGGGCGCCCTGCTCGCTAGTCCGACTATAGCCAAAAGATACAGGTTCGATCTCAGCATTTTCATGCATCTATAAACATAATTTAACAGAAATTGAAAACATACAAATTTACTTTCAAAACACGTTACGTCTGTACGTGATTATTACAATCTGGTTGTTAATCAGTGGAAACAATGTATATTGCTGTTATTTTCATTTTATATACAAAACAATCACAGATCACATAAATTCGTAGAAATATCAATGCAGTAAGGCTATAAATGAAGCGTGTTATGACGAATAATTTGTTATTGTAGAGTTTGAGGGTCTAGTGTCTAGGATAGCAAACCAAACCATGAAGAACCTGGATGGTCTGAGGCTGGACTCGTCATCATGGGGAGAACAATTCCACGACGCAATGAATGTCAATGGTGGAGACACAGAGAATGCCACCGTTGTAGACTACATCATGCATTTCTGTACATTCTTCTGGAAGGTAAATTGATATGTAACGCCCACTTGTAAGATTAACATTTAATGATGTTACAAGCAGCTGCGACGCTTGGAACCAAAAATACTGAAACCCAGAAGAAACGTCGGCAAATTGGTCCAAAAACTATGGTGGTTTACTCATCAAGTACCTGAATCAGTAGATCATATTGGTTTATTTTTGAAGACTTTAACAACATTGTGTTTTCATTCTACAACACTATGAACGGAACTGGTAAATTGTATTCCCTCCATTTGGACTCTTTATATAAAGTTAAAGACCTTCTGTATAGACGTTAGCGTTTTTCTTTGTCCATGTTTACCTGGAACCTGATGTAAACAATACAACAAACAATAGCATCGTACATATATATAAATTTATTCTACAACTGCGCTGCCATTGTCGGAATACATCTGCCACATACATTTTTGCTGAAGTCGGCATCGGCGAAAAACAGCTGTATTTTAGAACGTGCGTTCATTCGACAGAATTCCTTTCTGAAATTACTTAGAAATTGCGTTAAACAAGAAAATAAAATCTGTTAAAATAAGCGATTTTATATGTTGTAATAAACAAGTCATTGAAAGACAATTCATTAAACTATATTTCTGCGTGGAGTAATTATTTTCGAGCACGTCATTAGGTAAAATTCAGCGTAACGTCAACGACAGGTAAACAAAGATTGAACAACAACAATGTTGTGGGTTTGATTGTCCAATTTTCAATCAATGTTGCAGAATAAAAACCATACAAGGCTCGGGACAGAAAGACAAAAGTGACTCGCGAGAGGCTTGCCACTTTTGTCCTTCTCCACCCTCGCCAAAATACTGCGTATATTTTAAGAAACTGACTATGTACTTTTTTGATGATAGTCATGCAAGTAAAATTCTATCATACAAAACATTGTACGTTGTGACAACACTCTGTTCTAGGTGATGTTTGCCACCCTGATTCCACCCACGTCAATCGGAGGTGGCTGGCTTACCTTCAGCTGCTCGCTGATGGTGATCGGCTTCCTTACTGCTATCGTTGGTGATCTGGCTTCCATATTTGGGTGTCTGATAGGATTGAAGAAAACGGTCACTGCGATTACGCTAGTGGCTCTTGGCACTAGTATGCCGGATCTTTTCGCTAGCAAGCAAGCTGCTGTAGGGGAGAAAACTGCCGATAGCTCTGTTGGCAACATCAATGGAAGCAACGCCGTAAACGTATTCCTTGGTCTAGGACTACCATGGCTTATAGCAACCATCTACTGGACAGTTAAGGTAGGTCACAGCAACCATCTACTGGACAGTTAAGGTAGGTCACAGCAACCATCTACTGGACAATTAAGGTAGGTCACAGCAATCATATACTGGACAGTTAAGGTAGGTCACAGCAATCATATACTGGACAGTTAAGGTAGGTCACAGCAATCATATACTGGACAGTTAAGGTAGGTCACAGCAATCATATACTGGACAGTTAAGGTAGGTCACAACAACCATCTACTGGACAGTTAAGGTAGGTCACAGCAATCATCTACTGGACAGTTAAGGTAGGTCACAGCAATCATATACTGGACAGTTAAGGTAGGTCACAGCAATCATCTACTGGACAGTTAAGGTAGGTCACAGCAATCATATACTGGACAGTTAAGGTAGGTCACAGCAATCATCTACTAGACAATTAAGGTAGGTCACAACAATCATCTACTGGACAGTTAAGGTAGGTCACAGCAATCATCTACTGGACAGTTAAGGTAGGCTACAATAGCCATCTACTGGATAGTTAAGGTGGGTCACAGCAATCATCTACTGGACAGTTAAGGTGGGTCACAGCAACCATCTACTGGACAGTTAAGGTATGTCACAGCAACCATCTACTAAACAGTTAAGGTGGGTCACAGCAATCATCTACTGGACAGTTAAGGTAGGTCACAATAGCCATCTACTGGACAGTTAAGGTAGGTCACAATAGCCATCTACTGGACAGTTAAGGTGGGTCACAGCAACCATCTGCTGGACAGTTAAGGTGGGTCACAGCAACCATCTGCTGGATAGTTAAGGTAGGGCACAGCAAACACCTACTGGACAGTTAAGGTAGGTCACAGTATTCATCCGATTGCTTGACAACTAAGACAGACCGTAACAATCATCTGCTGGATTAAGTTTGCGAACAGTGATTAATTGGATAACTAAGGAAAATCAATGAAACTATTTACTAGACAATGGAAGTATGTTACGCATTTTCGACCATTTTGATAAATGAAAATACATTAATAACATTAAACAACAGGTTCCGTGTTTATCAGTTATATGTTAGTTATATGGAGTAAATGATGAAAATGTTAATAAAGGTATGTGCAGTGATCATCGACTCGTAGTCTATATCAACATGGCCGAAACAAAACTGGTGAGATAGGTATGTTACATATCGTTGACTGGTTAAATTAGGTTTGTAGCACTTACATTATAGACCGTTATTTATTCCAGATATTCTAAGTAGGGCATATTTCTTATTATGTGCGAATTCTTGAGCAGTTATCATCATGTTAGAGTGCACGTTTTTGTTTCCTAAGAGTGGCGCCAGACGTATTAAGACTGGTATGAATTCTAGGACAAACCAGGACAGGTTAATTCTAAACTTTTGTTGTATTTTTATGTTAATTAATACTCTTTAACTCGTCCTTACGACTTTGGTAAAACGGTAACAAAGTGTCTGATCACGTGTATATAATCAAAGTTGGTCTGATAGAGGAATTTATGTCTTGTTTTCAGGGTGAAAGGTTTCTCGTGTCATCTGATGCTCTGGGATTTACAGTTGTTCTCTACACTGCATGCGCTATTGTCACCCTAGTTGTACTGATGATCAGGAGGAACTTGGCCGTTTTCGGTCGAGCAGAGCTGGGAGGACCATTTGTACCCAAAGTCTTAACGGCTTTGCTCATCTTATTTCTTTGGTTTTTCTACGTAATCTTATCGTCGTTGAGTGCGTATGAAATCATCGGTGTGTCCTTTTAAGTTAAAATATCCTATCAAGTACAGGGATAACAAGTGAGAATGGATGTTCAGAATAATCGGGCTAGTACTGCGCCTCTGGTTACTCGGGACTACCTAGACATATTGAGCACGTGTTGCACTGGTATTTACTTTACAGTGATGATGTCGCCTTGGGCACACGTTGTACCTGGTATACATTGAGGATCATCGCGTTGGGCACACGTTGTCCCTTGTATGCATTGAGGATCGCGGTGTTGGCCACACGTTGTACCTGGTATACATTGACGATCATCGCGTTGGGCACACGTTGTACCTGGTATACAATGAGGATCATCGCGTTGGGCACACGTTGTACCTGGTATACATTGAGGATCGCGGTGTTGGCCACACATTGCACCTGGTATACATTGACGATCATCGCGTTGAGCACACGTTGTAAGTGGTATACATTGAGGATCATCGCGTTGGGCACACGTTGTAACTGGTATACATTGAGGATCGTCGCGTTTGGCACACGTTGTACCTGGTATACATTGAGGACCTTCGCGGTGAGCGCACATTGTACCTGGTATACATTGAGGATCATCGCGTTGGCAACACATTGTAACTGGTATACATTGAGGATCATCGCGTTGGGCACACGTTGTAACTGGTATACATTGAGGATCATCGCGTTGGCAACACGTTGTACCTGGTATACATTGACGATCATCGCGTTGTGCACACGTTGTACATGGTATACATTGAGGATCGCGGTGGTGGCCACACGTTGTATCTGGTTTACACTGAGAATCTTAAACAATAAGTTATCACTTACACACAAAATTCTGTTTACGAATTTTCGATAATCTGCTTGGATAAGTCAAGTATATATTTTTTTTCCATAAATAGTGGTCTATTTCGAAACAACAATATACTCTATAGATAAAATATTAACTGAATATTATCAATTTTAATTTTTAATTAGATGATTAACTTTCGCATGGTGTGACTGGTTTTAAAGTCTCATCGCTATTGTTTTTTTCACATGTTATGATAATTAAAACCAATTAAAGTGGTATTAATGGCACTCGTCCAGGTCTGGGGACGTACATTGACTAAGGTGTTGACTGACCGACATCAAGCTTCAACCAAAAACAAATATTTTTATCTGTTCTGTGACGATTTGATGGCATCATTACGATGGCATCATTACGCAAAACTTGATTTCATGGCTTGTATTTCTGGACGATAACTTTTGAAGATTTGTCAATCAATTGTTAAACATCACTGAAACAATCCTTGTATGAAAGCATACATAATGTTAAAGTTGTTTGGATGTACGTGTCAAGTGGATGGGTTTTGAGGCAATCACCCAATACATGTATACGCATGAACATATTTATCATGGAGGGAATCAAAATTTTATGAATATACTGAAACTTATAGATATTATATTCTATATAGTATGAGCGCCTTCCGCAGTCTTTGTATGTTAGCAATGTGATACAGGTTGAGAAAACCTTTTATTATACACCCACTTTTCGGCTCGGCTACACGGTATGATGGCTTATATGTGCCAATTCGTTATTTTGCAACAGAAACCAATCAAATTAATTTTGTCGCTTACAGGCACGAAGAAAACGGAACTACTTATTCTACAGCTCCGACGAACGAAGACAACAATTATTGTTGTTCTATCGTTGCTTATCCACGTCTACTAGTCACTCTGTTGACAAAAAAACGTTATTTTACTGCGAAATAAGTAAATATGAAAATGATTATGTCAGCCATCTTAATTACGACTGTAAATTTTGTGTTAGTACGGTAGTGCTAGAAATGGGTGATACTGCTGACGATTTTTCTGTAATGACAGCTCCGAGTACGTGACTGCCGGAGAGCTGTGTTGATTGGTCTGTGATATAGACGTCGTCACGTGGTGTATGTTCTAATATTGTATATTTTGATTTAATTTCTTTTTTTTTTTTTCTTCACATATGGTAATGTATGTGCGAGTGTGTTTATGGTTCATATGTCAGCATTTCTGTATTTTAACAAATCAGGGCCGGTAATTTACTGTTGTTGGAAAACTGTGTTGATTGATAGATAACATTCATGGCAAACCAGTGACGTCATCTTAAGATGTCATTATAAATGTATGTTTAAACTGGTGACTATATTTTCATTAGAACGAATGGATAATGGTTAACGGATCTTATAAATCACACAGCTGGGGCGAATTCCGTCAGATTTAGAACATTAGCACAATATTTATGCTCATATTCTTATCTGTTTACTTCACATTTTTATGTCGTTTTGTTTTATGATGGACTCGTCTAAAAAATACTGCCAAGTTTCGCATGTCTGCATTCACTGTAGAATTATAGGTACATTGTACACGTATCTCATATTGAAAAAGTGTGGTAATCACATAAAAAGCTGAAAACTCTCAAACTGAATTGTTATATTTGAATATGTTGTTAAGATCCATGGTTAAAGTTATGAATTATCTTCCAATCTGTTCTAATCCTACAGCTCTCAATAAGTAATCGGAGCGTGAGTCTCAACACCTCGTGTCGAGGACAATATCGTATCAGAGAAAAAGTCTTTACTAAACAGCAATATTTTTAAAAAAGAGTTTTTAAAATAAGAAAAATCTGATACCAGTTTTATGAAATATAGAGACATATTCATGCATTAGGAACTAACGATAATATTAAAATGTAAAACAAAGGTACACACTACATATGTTTATGAGTGCATACCTGTAGTTTTCTATTGTTAATTGTTCTCGCTGTTATCGATAATGACAGTGACCATTAATCTTATTATACATTTTAAAACGAAAATTTTGTCCTTAAATTTGTAATAACTTGTTAGTCATTTTGTTTTTTATTTTTGTACTTTTAAAGTACGATCCAATACACTAATAAAACACGATAGATGGGTACACTGGTCGTGTTGTTGTTTGTTCAGTAAGACGTGTCGCTATGTACATATGTTGTATATATCAGTACGTATTTACATTACAGAACTAATTATAAATCTACCATAGGTACGCCGATTGGTAAAACTGTCTTAATAGACAAATCCATAACAGGAAACAAATATCATCGTACAATGACAAACATGTTTATTTATGTATTAGATATGTAATAACTTTCAAATTTTCAATAACTGGGCAAAATTTAAGTGTTTTTAGACATGCAAATTTTGGAAACAAAGACCAGTGAGATTTAATGGTTTCCAGAGCAACCATAGTGTGCTATAATGTTGCGATGTCTATGAAAGGTTACAGCGCTAAAGCAAAAATCTCGAGGCTAAGTGAAAATGGTGAAAGTCGTTTTAAAAGTCATCCTGTACAATCTCTCATATACTAATCACTTAACTCATCGAAAAATATTTTGACTGTTACGAATCAAAGCGTGCAATTAAGTATCGGTCACTGCTCACGACAAGCCACTACTGATACCCAATGTTAGTAACAGGGTAACTATATGTCTAATGGTTTTCGTTTCAACAGACGATAATGTATAAACAAGCACGCTTACATGGGTGTTCTTGCAACGAGGTACGACACACTTGGACGACTATACACTTGGATTGTTTTTACTAGATAACACTTTTCAATATCAAAACGATGTGTTGTTAAATTACAAACACCTTACAGACCAATAACTGATATACAATATTACTCAATATCGCGTTGATGTGATGTAAATCGTAAAGGTTCACACCGATCTCTACAGTGTTTTATACAAACGATAATCTTTCATTCAGGTGTTTATTACAACTTAAACACACACAAAAACAAAAACAAAGAACAAACAAAAAAACAGTTACTGCTAAACTTTGGTGATGAAAGGTGCAAAAAGGGCCCCATCGATGACTTAAAACACTTGCACAACGACTTCATGAAATATCGTTACAGCCTTTGAAAGAGGCAGTGTATATAGAAGATACACAAAGAGGGATAACTCTCGCACAAACATAGAAATCAAACTGAACAGAGATGACTCCAAATCACGTGAATATCCAAACATTTTTTATTTTGTGTTATATAGTAAATGACAACATGACACTTGGTGAGTTCAATGTTCAAAACGAACACGTGACAAATTATTGACATACACGACAATTAAGAGTATGTACTGTACACAACGCTCATGATCATCTTATTTCACAATACATATTCAGCTCTATTCGTTAACTACGTAACAAGTTAATATGTTATTAACACGAGTCAAGCATAATATAATCATACGTGTGTTATACTTATTACTTACGTTTAACGAAGTACTAGTAATAAAAGAGGCCTGTAGGTCTTAACGGTCGTCTCACTAAACTAACAGAGGATATAGGTGTTTTTCACAAAATATCAAAAGGGAAAAATTATTAACGTGACCCATCAAGCAATTTTTGGGACATTATTGTCCTGCCTTTTGATGTTCCATGTCGAATTAGATTGAAATATGAGTAGAATTGTTAAAGAGAAGTTCCTCTAATACCCCTAAATGGGTCACGGTCTTTGGCCCCTACGGGTCGTCAGTTATATGAGATATGATTGCCATCCTCAAATGATCTGTCCTGCCAAACAGAGTTGAAATCTGTAATATCATATCAGAAGACATGTATTTGCAAATTTCCCCTGGTGAGCTTCATCTTATAACAACTAGGGATCTGTATACCTTCATTTAGATAAATCACAGCTGCCCTTCCCAAGTGATATTTCAGACCAAAGGGTAAACCTGTCCAGGCAAAAAACTGGCGACGACTTTAAAGCCCAATTTCCCAGACTCTTTTGATGGACTTCGACTCTTGGCTCCTATGAGTCGCAATATTTTCATTTATAGAAACTACAACACGATTGATGATGTTTAATGCCAACTATGAGTGAAGTCTACCCAGGCATATGAGAGGACCTGTCATGGATCTCGCCACTCGGCAACTATGGTTACAATACTTTCGTAAATCAAAATTATGATTGCCTTCCTTGAGTGACGTTTCTTATCGAATTTGCTTGAAATCTACCCAGGTTTTAAGGAATAACATTTAAAAGCAAAATTTCAGTCGAATTTCTCTCCGCAGGGGTCGAATAAACTTAACTTATGTACATCTTAAATAATCTACGAATACAAATACCGTGGAATGGTTCAACTTTCAATTTCAATTTTCGATCTCAGAACTGCTGACCGCACTGTTACTCTAAATATATGTTATATCGTTCGCCGGTTAGTAGGAACAATGACCGGGATAGTTTTGCTGCCAAAAGTAGTGAACAATAGAATTATAAAACTGAGACGTAAGGCAGAGGCCAAACAATCTGACTGGAACTTCACATGATTTGCACCAACAGAGCGAGCGAGGTGATGTTAATTTCGACAATACCCTGTCCTCGACGGCCATCAGTCATCATATACACGTAAGAAAAGGGCAGTTACAGTTTTCATTCGACTTTTTGTTGGCCTCAACTCCATTATTTGTTCCAAGACAAATTATCTTGTAAAGTTCAAGCAACATTGCTTTCCTCGTCCCCGCCGTTATATAACGTTAACACGTGACGTCATGATGACGTAACATTACCGCCATGGAAGCAACAGGTAGTACACTGATGAGGCGTCATGCCACTTCCTTGTTGTTAATTTTCACCACACTATCCCTCATCACATTGTTTTTGATTTCTAATGTCCAAAGTTTTCTTAAAAAGGACTCTTGTGATGGATGCGATACAAATGAAGACGATAAAATTATTCAAAGAATGTTGCGACTCCACACGGCTAAAAGATCCAGATCAGAGAGAGCAGCGGCAAAAGAAAAGAAGAGAATTATCGACTTATCTGTATACCGTAAAATGGGATGGGAACTTTCTCCTGCAGACGCTCTTCAAGTGTTTGATGCATATTACGAGTGTTTAATGAAAAGAGAAACATCTGAAAATAGCAAACTAGATATTACTGCAGTTCTGTCTTTAGAAGGGCAAAATATTGAACTAAAATGTCCGATCTGTTTACGTCCGGATCAGGAATCTGGGCGTCTAGGTATTCAATGGCAACATATGAGTACACGAGATAGTGCAATGCGTTATGTTGACGAAAGTTCTAAATTCAAATTCACAGATGAAATGTCTCTCATCATATCTGATGTAGACATAAGTGATGCCGGACAGTTCTTTTGTGTGAGGACGAGGGACAGAGAAATAGAGCAAATATATCAATTGGATGTCCTATTCAGAGAAAGAAGAAAAGTTTTAGCCGGCTCCGAAAGGCGCAATATTTTACCAGTAAAGGCTTTGGAAGATAATAACCTGAAGTTGTTTACCTTGTGGTCAGACTGGAGCGACTGCAACAGGTGTGGGAAGGTCGGACATCGTCGTAAGGTGGGACTCTGTATGGTTGATAAGATAAACGACACCGACCCCGTGGAGCCAGTAGATTTACCAATTATTGAACTGTATCCACGGGGAATTCCATGTCGATCCACCGTCCTCCCGCTCGACATCGCCAGACTGAAGCCGATTCGACGTAGACAAAGTGAAACCATCCTTGAAAAATGTTACCAGAGGTGTCCTACTGTAGCGCCACCTAGGGTAGTCACAGACAAGAACGGAGAGGTCCTGCAGGTCATTCAGCCGGGATACTACTCATTAAAGTGAGTTTCTTGAGTTATTTCATTATTGTTACATCTCGTAAAAGTTGCGGGTTTTTAAAGACTCGTAGAACATGACATCATAGGTTAAGAGGGACGCGTTCTAGCATTTAAAAAATAACTTTACACTTTTGTTAGTATGGAATACAGGCACCACCTAAAAGCAAGTTCGATTTGATAAAGAATGTGGATAATTAGTGTAAACATCATTTAGAACTGCCTCTTTCACGGCTTCACTCGAGTTGTGTATGTGTTGTTAACAATCATAATCATTTAAATATAATCAACTCAAACAAATATCACAAGAAATCCAGATGATATAGTCACACAAATATCGCAACTCTCGTGCCAGATCGGGTCCTTTCGGCACCTTCCGTGTATAGAAAGTGGCAAAGGCCCCAGAAGTCAGTTAAGCAGGAAACCAGGTGTGCTCTTATTTTGATTAGCTAAAATGGGATTAAATTTTAGGTAGCTTGAGTTTCAATTGATTAAAGTATATGTTCGTGAAATTTATTTTGATTATTAAAAACTTTTAGCATATTTTCATTTCTTCGTGAATGCTTGAAAAGGTATTTTGTCGGTCAAGGTATTATTTTATCGATGGTTTTTTTTTAATTCCACCCACAATTTCATGCAGCTCTTACTGTGCTCGCTATGAATTATATCAAACAGAATGTTTAAACAGCCATGTTACAACTGATGTATACTGTAGTCTGTGTGATGTTTCCTTATCTTATCGTCTTGTCATTATTTCTCGGATAACTTGTACTATTGAGTTTCTCCTGTGTGTTAGGAACGATAACCCGTACAACCAAGCGTGGATATGCTACGTGCATATCAACCTTGTCAGTTGTGAAATATATTGATCGACGAGACAAAATGACCATCACAGTAAAGTAGAAACCGAAAACGGATTAATGGTTAAAGTCGAGTGTCTATGTACGCTAAGTAGTATATCTATAGATATTTATAAAGCACTTATGGAACCAAATGGCCCCTAATGCTTCACCAGATTTTGTTAGAACCGACCTAAAACAGCTTACTACTTAACCTTCTCATCACCATATCACCATTTAACGACTCGAATGTTTGTATATACCATTCAACATTTCATAGGACGCTTTGGTTTACACAGCAGTAGCCCATGGCCAGGATCTAGGGCCGAAGCACTGAATTTACTGAAAATATACACACGGGGGGAAAAACTGTGTGTCCTTAAAACAAGTCTAGAAAAAAATAGTCAGAAGATCTTTCTCGTCGATAATTTCAAAAATTCTGTTTTGACGTTTTAAATACTTTATTTGATTGGCACTATAAACATCGTTTCATTGGTCATGATATTTTTTTCCAGTTTCACTCCTAGAATATTCAAACCTTAATAGATAATATTCTATACACTGTGCTAGGAAACATTCCTGATAGGGTTTACCATGAACATGCCACGTATGTGCGAAAACGAAAGTTTGCATGCTAGAGGCATGTATATCACAGAATAATGTGTCAGACAGCTTGAAGTATTGGACCTCAGATTTGGAGTGGTCAACATCCGCCCGCGACATCCCGCTATCCGTCCACTTTTCCTTCAACGTCACGTGCTTAGCATAGTACAGGAGACATCTGCGACACACCAACAGGAACTGGTTTGAAGTGCTATTCATATATGAGTCCAGATTTCGCCTTTATACTATGTAAAAAAGATTGTCGACTTCAGGCGTACCGTAGGCCGTTGGTGTGATTTAGAATCGGCAGTTCAGCAAAGGGAGCACGTCTGTCAAGGATGGCATTACAACGTAAGGAAGGACCCTTTTGGCAATAGTGGAAGGCAACTTGACCAACGCTGTCATAACCAAATTATACGTAATCACGTTATTTTGCAGCAGGACAACGCACCTCCTCATACTGCACGTGTTGTTGGGGCATAACTACAGCATGTTGTAAGACCAGATTTGTCTCCAATCAAGCATGTTTAGGATGAATAAGAGCGTTAGGATCTAAATCCTCCTGTGGCGTATGACGTCATACAATGTCAGACTTTCTGCGGAATTTGACGAGTCCCATGTGTCGTAAATGTGTAGCATGCATCATAATGGGCATAAACAGCATGGAACTCGTGGTACTGGATTTGCCTTCCTCTCTGTGGCTATAAAATTCAATCCAAATGATTTATTGTGTCATTATGAAGGTAAAGCACTTTTAAAAAATCGGTACAAAATATACCACATTATTTTGCACGGGAAATTACCCAATCCAAATACACATAGATTATATAGAAACCACACGAAAAATATCTTCTTTAGCACTGGTGTTTAAGATACAATGTTTTGTAGTTTTAAAATAAGAGACTTGTCCCGATCATCCATATTCAGATGCAAACAGAGATGTAATCTTTATACAGGGGTCAAAGTAAGATTATTTTGCCGAAAACTCTTTCAATTCAACATCGATATCTAGAGGACAAGTGAGTTCCCCAAACCTTAATGATTTTTTTCAATTAATTGATATTTTTGCATGCTAAAAACTCCTTTGCTATATGACTCGATCCAACCGAACGAAGTATAGGGACAGACTTATAAGTTTATGAAAAATTTTTTTTAATTTACAGGGAAAAGCCCACACTCCCACCTATGGTTAAGCGGAGCTTGATTTACGAAGTGACACGAAAGAATCTGATCTTGAAATGCCCTGTCAAACCGGACAAAACTTCCTTGGTGAGATGGCAGAACGGGACAGTAATAATTAACCCACTCAACATCAGACGGCAGACCAGAGGACGAGTTCGTATGGACGGAGCCAACAGACTGCACATCCGAGCATTGCGAGTGTACGACAGTGCCCCCTATAGCTGCTGGCTGAAGCGGCGACACGTGGCGACCATCAAAGTGATAGTGACGGAGGCGATGAATAGCAGCCTGAAGGATCACATAACGTACGCTGGACTAGGCCTAACCATTCTATCGATGACGCTCGTCTGTTTATGTGTGTTTTGCGGTAGAAACAAGAAAACTGTAAAATGATTATTGTGGTAGTTATGTAATAATCAAATTACTTATCAGTTTAGTATGGAAAGTAACTCGTTGCCCTCAATATATATTCTGAGTTCCTGTTTTTAACATCACACGTCAGAACATTTTGTATCTAAACCAGTACTGATCAATCATACATATCGCCCATCAGTAACACATAAACTTCCGTCCTGGCAGTGCCTCTCATACTTATCGCTCATCGCTAAACTACTTCCCCGATACAATATATATCGCCATCCTCGTTAAACAGCAACAACAAAACAACCCACCAATGTCAGCCCGAGTCCTCAATCGTGGACACCAGTTTGGAACATCACCACCGTCAGCCTCCCTCCCCCACCCCCTCTATCTCTGTTTCTCTCTCCCAGAATACCATTACCATAAACCTAACCCAGATATCACTCCCTTTCTGCCGACCATAGACACCACTTTCGTCAGCTCGGTCAAAGATATTACGATCGTCAGTCCGACTTCAGATAGCACTCCCTATAAACAGACCCTAAAACTTACTGCCAATCCCAGACATCACTACCGTCAGCCTGACCCGTGTCAACATCTACTAAAATACCCTTCGAGCTCTCTTCTGCCAAAACCAAGTCATCATTACCATAAGCCCTATGTGAGACACCACTTATAGTATCAGCAACACACCTCCACGATTAAAACTTCTTCCCATAACAACACAGGTCTCGATATACAGGAATATTTGATTACCACCATCGAGTCTGTATTAAAATACTTGGCTCAGAATTTTGTTGTTTTCTGTGATTTATAGATTTTCCACTATAATGAAAAAAAATGTTTTTTGAATGATTGTGTACATTCTTATCTCGGTTCCGTCTTATGTAAAGTTGTCATTCGCCGGAAATCACTTGCCTGAAACGGTGCTTGGGATGTGTACAGCACTTAATCTAATATGTCACTAGAGGAACAAGAGCGATTGTAAAGATGGTGCTGTAACTCTTAACTACTTGACTTTCTGATTGCAGTTCTGTTTATTGACATGACCTTCTCCACTGCGATACCCAGAGTCAAAAAATCATAAAACGATGTCGTTTTTAAACAAGGTCAAATAATGTGATAAGACGGTGACTGTTAAGAATATTTTGAATTATTCAATGACATTCTTCTAACTGTGTAACATGTTGAATAGACGGAAGTTAACATCAACTTAGCTAACACTGATGGAATTAAGATAGGACCTTGTTCCCAATGATGGTATTTGTCATGTAGTTCTAAATACATTATCTGGTTCTTAGTGAATTGCTACATTTACATCTTGTATGAGAGCACGCACTTCCTGACACCCAAGGGACGAGGAATATTCGTCATTACCGCAAGCAACATCCGGCAGACTCGGCGAAGTCTAGAAACAACATCAGTGGTACACTGCAGTAGTACACCGTGTTCAGTCAGATCAACTGTCCTGTCCAACATATTGGATCAGATATGTCACGAAAGGCCTGTATCTAAAATCTTTTCATTTTATATTATGTTTAATGTTAAGATATCACACGTAGATCTCCACTGAGTCGTATGGAATGGCGCCAAATGTTTTATACAATAAACAATTCCGTTCTGTAACTCGAAATGATAAAGTCACTAGGACTGCAATATGTGCTACCAGAGGGAGCATGTCGTGATACAGAAGGAAACACGTGTCATGATACCAGAGAGAGCATGTCGTGATACAGCAGAAACACGTGTCATGAAACCAGAGGGAGCATGTCGTGATACAGCAGAAACACGTGTCATGATACCAGAGAGAGAATGTCGTGATACAGCAGAAACACGTGTCATGATACCAAAGAGAGCATGTCGTCATACAGAAGGAAACACGTGTCATGAAACCAGAGAGAGCATGTCGTCATACAGAAGGAAACACGTGTCATGAAACCAGAGAAATCATGTCGTGATACAGAAGGAAACACGTGTCATGAAACCAGAGGGAGCACGTCTTGGTACCAAAGAAAACACGTGTCATGAAACCAGAGAGCATGTCGTCATACAGAAGGAAACACGTGTCATGAAACCAGAGAGAGCATGTCGTCATACAGAAGGAAACACGTGTCATGAAACCAGAGGGAGCACGTCTAGGTACAAAAGAAAACACGTGTCATGAAACCAGAGAGAGCATGTCTAGGTACAAAAGAAAACACGTGTCATGAAACCAGAGAGAGCATGTCGTCATACAGAAGGAAACACGTGTCATGAAACCAGAGAGATCATGTCGTCATACAGAATTAAACACGTGTCATGAAACCAGAGAGATCATGTCGTCATACAGAAGGAAACACGTGTCATGAAACCAGAGGGAGCACGTCTAGGTACAAAAGAAAACACGTGTCATGAAACCAGAGAGAGCATGTCGTCATACAGAAGGAAACACGTGTCATGAAACCAGAGAGAGCATGTCGTAGTACAAAAGGAAGCACATGCCATTATACCAGAGGGAGCACCTCTTGGTACCAAAGGTAGCAAAGGTCATGGTATAAGACGTAGCACAGGTCATGGTATTAGACGGAGCATAGGTCATGGTATTAGACGGATCACATGTCATAGTATAAAACGGAACACAGGTCATGGTACTAGACGGAGCACATGTCATGGTATAAGACGGAGCACAGTTCATGGTATAAGACGGAGCACAGGTCATGGTACTAGACGGAGCACAGTTCATGGTATAAAACGGAACACAGGTCATGGTACCAGACGGAGCACAGGTCATGGTACTAGACGGAGCACAGGCCCATAGGAAGCACAATTCGTACTTGAAAAAAAGGTTACAGTTTATAAGATAACTACGTAAGTAAGTGATGCTGACACAACACATTTGGATCTTTATTTTGATATACCTATTTAGTCGAGTCGCATGTTCTAGGAAATCGAAACAATGCTTGATTGATCCAAGTTTTAATGTACTATTGTTGAACTCTACAGTTTGAAAGGGCAAAGCTGTAGCTTATTAATAAACAGGAACTGTGCCAAGCTTCCCTTGTATTCATAACTCTGATTAATCCAAGCTCTCCCCAGATGTTCCACTACTAACACTTATTATTGTGTAGTTGTCTGGAACATGGTTAGGACATTGATGTCAAATAAAATCCCATCATACAGATTTGATAACATTTTGAGAAAATCGAATCTTCATTTTCGATGGAGGAACTTATCAATACTTCAATAATGAGACGGTGAAGAGATGAATGGCTTCACCAAGAAGTCTAAGGTAGGCATTGAATTTAAATTTCTGTGCCATTTGAAAGCATTAAATCGTGGTCTCTAGTCATTGATGACGTTTCATTTTTTCCTGAAAAGTTCTGTTAGATTGAACTTCAAAATAGGCGAGGCTACGTTTACATAATTTTACCGATTTTATTACAGTAGAACTGAGAGGGACTCCTCAGGGGTACAAAATACCAGACTAAGTTCTCAGAATTACACAATTATTACTTGGTTTCATAAAACTAAATTTAACACTGATGATAAAAGGTTGAACATTTGTCATTGTATTAGAATACTCACGGATCGTTGTATGCCGTCTTTATTTCTTTGCAAACCTAACCCATGCCAAGGTTATCAGCTGTTCTTTACACTCACAATTTCAGTAATTGAAAATGGCAGACAAGTAATATTCGAAGAATTTTAAAAGCGCATCAAAGACATAACTGAGCAATGATTTTAAGAAACAAACAATTGCAGTCTGCTAATGAAGCTGCTTACTTCTTATAAGCGGAATTTAAAACATAGCTATGATGTCATGTATTGTTGTACCAGTCAATTATATAACATAATGGACCGCGACGTTTCCATTCTTAAACTCAGCCGCCCATTATGTACAATAAGCACGGCCATTTTTCTTTAAGCAAGCTTATTACTATAAGATATTGTTTCACTTTAATTTGTACTGATGTCACATTAAATTTTATTTATGGAGTCCTGTTGTTTCTTAAGTATTTTGCAAATGAAACTTTTTTTGAAAAGATCATCATCCCTAAATTAGGCGATAAGAAACGACATGGCACATCTTTATCGAAGTGCTTGAAATCAACGTACGTGAGTGCCCTTGTTCTCGTTTGATATTAGAGATAGGGGGAATCCAAATCTGTCTTAATCGATCAGCCGGTGTGACGTATGGCCTGTCTCTATCGTAAAACAGTATGAGTAGGTCTCGGGGCGGGGGTGACTACACACCAATTCTTAGTCCAATGTACTCAGCACAACGTCAAGCATTGACCACTCACCGCCCAGCGTCTAATCGCTGAGATCGGAATGGTCCAGCTCGGATATTGACCGCCATATCCGGGCTACTAAACTAACTTCGGAGGCCATATCGTCATAGCACGTGCTAACCTCTATATGCGCGTGCATGGAATCATGTGTGTGATCTTCAGAATTACATCATGTAATGGTAGTATTTGAGTTGCAGGCGCCTAGCTCTAACCGTCAGTTACTAACTCGTGGTCTGACATACATCATATCCTATCATTGATGAGAGATTTTGACGAGTACGTGCTAACAAGACTGCTGCCTGTCAATGTATCGAGGAGTACATATATGTAGATGTTCGATACCACCATTGTAGAAGAAAGGGCTGTATTGATTAGACGGATATGACTGGTGAAGGATGCTGTCGGAGACAATGCCGCGTTAATTAGACTGAATGTTAATCGGAGAGGTAACGTATACTGTACTGCACCGACTCATTACACACAGTCTACAATACTCTATAACTTAATCACTATATACATCTGTTCACTTTTATCACTAAATATATCTGTTTACATTTATCACTGTATATATCTACCAGCTCATAAAACTGTCTATATCGTTCATCGTTATCACTGTCTATATCTGTCTACTGTTATCACTGTCTATATCTGTCCACTGTTATCACTGTCTACATCTACCCACTGTTATCACTGTCTATATCTGTCTACTGTTATCACTGTCTATATCTGTCCACTGTTATCAATGTCTATATCTGTCCACTGTTTCACGGTCTATATCTGTCAACTGTTATCACTGTCTATATCTGTCCACTGTGTTCACTGTCTATATCTGTCCACTGTTATCACTGTCTATATCTGTCCACTGTTATCACTGTCTATATCTGTCCATTGTTATCACTGTCTATATATGTCCACTGTTATCGCTGTCTATATCTGTCCACTGTTATCACTGTCTATATCTGTCCATTGTTATCACTGTCTATATATGTCCACTGTTATCGCTGTCCATATCTGTCCACTGTTATCACTGTCTATATCTGTCCACTGTTATCACTGTCTATATCTGTCCACTGTTATCATTGTCTATATCTGTCCACTGTTATCAATGTCTGTATCTGTCTACTGTTATCACTGTCAATCGTTATCACTGTCTATATCTGTCCATTGTTATCACTGTCTATATCTGTCAACTGTTATCACTGTCCATATCTGTCCACTGTTATCGCACTATCTATATATGTCCATCACTGTCTCTATCTGTCCACTGTTATCACTGTCTATATATGTCCACTGTTATCACTGTCTACATCTGTCCACTGTTATCACTGTCTACATCTGTCCACTGACATCACTGTCTATATCTGTCCACTGTTATCATTGTCTATATGTGTCCACTGTTATCGCTGTCCATATCTGTCCACTGTGTTCACTGTCTATATCTGTCCACTGTTATCACTGTCTATATCTGTCCACTGTTATCACTGTCTATATCGTTCATTGTTATCACTGTCTATATATGTCCACTGTTATCGCTGTCCATATCTGTCCACTGTTATCACTGTCTATATCTGTCCACTGTTATCACTGTCTATATATGTCCACTGTTATCACTGTCTATATCTGTCCACTGTTATCACTGTCTATATCGTTCATTGTTATCACTGTCTATATCTGTCCACTGTTATCACTGTCTATATCTGTCCATTGTTATCACTGTCTATATTTGTCCACTGTTATCACTGTCTATATCTGTCCACTGTTATCACTGTCTATATCTGTCCACTGTTATCACTGTCTATATATGTCCACTGTTATCGCTGTCTATATCTGTCCACTGTTATCACTGTCTATATCTGTCCACTGTTATCACTGTCTATATCTGTCCACTGTTATCACTGTCTATATTTGTCCACTGTTATCACTGTCTATATCTGTCCACTGTTATCGCTGTCTATATCTGTCCATTGTTATCACTGTCTATATTTGTCCACTGTAATCACTGTCTATATCTGTCCACTGTTATCACTGTCTGTATCTGTCCACTGTTATCACTGTCCATCGTTATCACTGTCTATATCTGTCCATTGTTATCACTGTCTATATCTGTCAACTGTTATCAATGTCTCTATCTGTCCACTGTTATCACTGTCTATATATGTCCACTGTTATCACTGTCTATATCTGTCCACTGTTATCGCTGTCTATATCTGTCCACTGTTATCACTGTCTATATCTGTCCACTGTTATCACTGTCTATATCTGTCCACTGTTATCACTGTCTATATCTGTCCACTGTTATCACTGTCTATATCTGTCCACTGTTATCACTGTCTTTATCTGGCCACTGTTATCACTGTCCATATCTGTCCACTGTTATCACTGTCTATATCTGTCCACTGTTATCACTGTCTATATCTGTCCACTGTTATCACTGTCTATATCTGTCCACTGTTATCACTGTCTATATCTGTCCACTGATATCGCTGTCTATATATGTCCACTGTTATCGCTATCCATATCTGTCCACTGTTATCACTGTCTATATCTGTCCACTGTTATCACTGTCTATATCTGTCCACTGTTATCACTATCTATGTCTGCCCACTGTTATCGCTGTCTATATCTGTCCACTGATATCGCTGTCTATATCTGTCCACTGTTATCGCTGTCCATATCTGTCCACTGTTATCACGGTTGGTGCCCACTGTTATCACTGTTAATGTCGACCGTTATCACTGTTGATGCCCACTATTAATGTCGACGTTTTCACGGTTGCTGCCCATTGTTATCGATGTTGATGTCCATTGTTATTACTCTTGATGCCATTAATATCACTGTTAATGCCCACTTTTAATGTTGACCGTTGTTATTGTTATGCCCACTGTTAATGTTGACCTTTATTATTGGTCATGCCCGCTGTTATCACCGTTGATGACCGTTATTATCACCGTTGATGCCCTTTATTATCACTGTTGATGATCGTTATTATCACTATTGATGATCGTTATTATCACTCTTGATGATCGTTATTATCACTGTTGATGCCCATTGTTATCACTGTTGATGATCATTATTATCTCAGTTGATGTCCGTTATTATCTCAGTTGATGTCCGTTATTATCACTGTTGATGCACATTGTTATCACTCCTGATGCCCACTGTTCATGTTGACCGTTATTACTGTTGATGCCCATTGTTATCAATGTTGATGCCCGTTATTATCACTGTTGATGTCCATTGTTATCACTCCTGATGCCCACTGTTAATGTTGACCGTTATTACTGTTGATGCCCATTGTAATCAATGTTGATGCCCGTTATTATCACTGTTGATGCCCATTGTTATCACTGTCGATGGCCATTGTTATAGCTGTTAATATATACAGTCAGGAGATTGCCGTATTGTGTACTTTAGTATACATAGAATATTATGAAGGACTTTCCTTTTTTATCACATAGTCTTTTTATTCAATGAATTCGCCTATTTCATTTCTTTTCGGTATAAGGCATTGGTGTAATAATATACCCTGTAGCGTTTCCTACCCGCTGCGCAAGTCCGTTTGTGATGTCATAACATGGACAATGATGTTACATCTAAAACTGAAAATAACACACCTAAATGTCTGCTTCAATCTTGACTCGCAAAAATTAAATAAATAAGACTCGTTTTATAACACCCGATACAGCACTGAGAATTTTAAATAAACACAGGAATGTTCAACTGTGTTTATCAGATTGTAAAATATACATAACTATGCATATGTATACTGTCTCGGAATTGTTACAAGGGCTCCTTGAAATCTTTCTAAGAAAGCAGACTCGCCAACATTACTCTCATGGAATTATATTTCATCTAAATCCAAAACTTCTATTCAATTTAAAATGCGTGATTTATCCGCCGCACACTCATGATAAACAGCTTAAACGATATGATATAACGTGTCTAACGCGCGAAATGTCGTGACCCGAATATTGTCACGTGGTAGACTGATGGAGTACCCGATGAATAAGTTGTCCGATTAGAAAACACCACTAGATTTTATACACAAATGTATACTTCAGAAGAATGGCAAGTCTTTGCGTTTGACCTTCTTTTTTGTTCTCCTCTCCCTCCATTTAATACGTACACATGCAGCAAACTGATTTTTGCGCACAATTAGCAAGCGGTTAAAGTCAAGTGGCGTCATCTGGTGTCGGGAATTCCTGTGCGGCATGAGAGTCTCTCAATTTGTCATGTGATTTCTCTTGTGGTCGTATAGAGCGGCCATCAAATTTGAACGCCGTCAGAAGAAGTTCTAGATTAAAGTAGTGATACGATTATCGATAAAATCAGTCATAACTCCTTTGAGAAATGATTTGCTGTGGTATGATGCTTTAGATTTCGTGTGAGTAGGAATTATAAAAAAACTTTAGATATAAGAGGAAACATTTTGTTGAAAAGCCTAATTCGGTTTTGCCTAATGCCCGATGATGATGTTCGTGATTCTCTCTCTTGGTATGATTTTATCTATGGCACTGGTTGTGTGATCTTACTACCACTGTAAACTTTGTTTCCATACAGACGCCAGTCTCTCCCATCCACGGCACGATGTCAGTCGCCACGGTGTTACCGATGGAGGGAAGAGAAACGCCGAGCCCGGGACGTGGCAGACGGGTGGGTAGTACGTCTACGTATGGCCGTGCGAGTGTTTCCACCATTGGTTCCACCGCTGGACGAAGCAGTACTTCCACAAATGGGCGGGGGAGTGTATCGACAACCGGAAGAGGAAGTACGTCACGGCCACCTAACGATGTTGACCTTGTTTATATCCAGTCCCTTACCAATCACCAAATAGATGTGAGTAGTACAAATGGCCATGTCTCTTCTAAGTTATGTTTTCACGTGAATGTTATAAGGAATGGTACTGATATAAGACGTTAGAAACGAATCCCAAATATGGTTTATTATATAGATATTTACCTATATACTGTAAAGAATTTAGTACTTTATTACAATTTGTTTTGCCTTTGTCGTCTCACATCACTACGGTATACTGCAAACGGTTTCTTTTCTTCCCGTGAAAACAACATGCTACTGAGATGAAACAGACGGTATAATCTGTCAGTAGATGAGAGTAGAAAATGGAGATTTAGGCGTGATATAAATGACTGAATTGGACAGTGTATTGGATGATGCATTTCTTGATGCCAGTGACAGAGACAAGAAAGTAGAAATATAGTGACAAGATTTACAGTCATCTGGTGTACTTAACAGCTATATCCATTCCCGTCAAGAACAGTCCATTTTTACTGTTGTCTAGGGGTGTTTTTTTGTATTTGTCAGTTGGGAAAAACGGCCTGAGTGACATCGCTTTGAAACTATAGCTAATCCTTTGGGAATAGGACACACATATAGAACGTACTTCCATGACTCTGTTAGATTAATTCTGTATTTTCAGAACTCTACTTGCTTTGATCAAAGTGTGGTTGTGTGAGAGTTAAATGTTTGCCTCAGAATTCAGTGAATGTACCCATTTATTTTTTTTTAAATTGTACATTAAGCGTAATATAACCTATTTTGACATCAGGTTTAGATAATGAAATGACGCCAGACCTCATGCCGATGACTGTGTAACATAACAATAAAGACTATAGATATGAGCCCGAAATTACTCTCAATTTTGACGTGGACAAGTCTGTTTTAGAAAATATTTGCCAGAATAAATATCCAAGTGGTTACAAATGTCCTTAATTCATTTACATTTGATAATTGATTAATGGAACTCGTTGTCATTTTTTTTTTATTTTCAACTCGCTAAAGGCGAAATGGTCGAATTGTATTGAGAAGTGCAGTCATGTTTAAGTGTAACATTTCAGTCTAGCGTTTTGTTATTTCAAATTTCTAAGTAAAATTTAAATTTAAATTGAATGGAAAATTTATCTGTTCTTCATTGCCTGTAATACCGAACATCTTTTCCCTTTTTCTGGAAATTCAACAGAAATCATCTAAATAGCACGATCTTTGTAACGATCAAACTGTATGCGGAATTGTACCAGATGTTGTTTTCATTGTGACCGAGGGAACGTATTGAAACACAATAGTTGTAGAGATTATGTCGTTGTGGATACAGTGTAATAACTCACTGTTGTATAATCAATTGTTTTGCCTTTCTATTACAGAAATGGAAAGCCTTATTCGAAACAGTAAGTTACTAAAGCCTTCTAATCCAACCTTTCAATAGACACCACAAGCGTTTTGACTTGCATACAGATTTTGATAGAGTCAAATGTTTAAATCAATATCAAATATATGCATGGCTTAGCTTCGTAGGAAACTCTCGACAGCTAAAATGAATTATTTTATTTCTAAGTCACCATTGTTGTCAGATTTTGTCTAGTAACGTGGACATTTCCCCCCGGCAGTAGAAAGGAAAAGTGACCGTAAATACATTTTGTAGTACTCGGTAGTTGCATGCACACTAGTGCACGTCAGTGGAGCTGGGTATGGTAACCGCTACTCGCCTCTTGAGGTTGGTAGTGACCGTCAATAATATTCAGTAGTAGAGATGAGACAGTGTGCTATACTATAGTAGGTGGAAGTTGAGGTGGGTAGTGACAATCAATAATATTCAGTAGTAGAGATGAGACAGTGTGCTATAGTAGGTGGCAGTTGAGGTGGGTAGTGACCGTCAACAATGCTCGTTAGTAGAGTAGGGTTAGTGAGCTATACTATAGTACGCGACAGTTGAGGTAGGTAGTGACCGTAAATAAAACTCGTTAGTAGGGTTGTAGTACTCGACAGTGGAGGTGTGGTTTTGGCCACTTCTAGTACTCGACAGTGGAGGTGTGGTTTTGGCCCTTTTTAATACTCAACAGCGGATGTGTGGATTTTGCCACTTCTAGTACTCGACAGTGGAGGTTGTAGTACCCAACAGTAGAGGTGTGGCTTTGGCCACTTCTAGTACTTGACAGTGGATGTGTGGTTTTGGCCGCTTCAAGTACTAGACACTGGAGGTGTGGTTTTTGCCGCTTCTAGTACTAGACAGTGGAGGTTTGGTTTTGGCCACTCCTAGTACCTAACAGTGGAGGTGTGGTTTTTTGGCCGCTTCTGGTACTAGACACTGGAGGTGTGGTTTTGGCCACATCTAGTACTCGACAGTGGAGGTTGTAGTACCCAACAGTGGAGGTGTGGTTTTGGTCGTTTCTAGTACTAGACAGTGGAGTACTAGACACTGGAGGTGTGGTTTTGGCCACATCTAGTACTCGACAGTGGAGGTTGTAGTACCCAACAGTGGAGGTGTGGTTTTGGCCGTTTCTAGTACTAGACAGTGGAGGTGTGGTTTTGGCCGCTTCTAGTACTAGACAGTGGAGGTGTGGTTTTGGCCACTTCTAGTACTAGACAGTGGAGGTGTGGTTTTGGCCGTTTCTTGTACTCGACAGTTGAGGTTGGGTTGACTACTTCTAGTATTGCACCATACTGGGCCCACATTGGCTGTTAAAGTGACAGAGTGAAAATGATTGGCAGTAACTCAGAGAGATCATAATTGTATTGCACTGATTTCACGCTTTTTAAGAAGCAAGATAGCAACACCAATTAAAAAGAATATTGGTGTCTTTGAATACAGACCTTTCAGACGCTTAATTGTACTTATTGATTTCCCATAGCGTCATGGTGACTTATTTGTAATATATGGTTTACAAAATGATTGAAAATTTGGTGTAATCTGATATTTAGATCCTTCAGTATAGAATAAACACAGCTAGACTTATTGCCCGGCGATGTACTACGAATGAATTATGTCTAGAATACAGACGAATGCGGGAACTACATCAGGGGAGGCTAGATATAGACAAACTTATGTACTGTAAAATTATCTATTGACGCAATATTAAGTCTGAGAAATTCGTCCTCGCTTTGTCTCACTGTGTAGATGGATTATCGACCATGTTGTTATAGATATTAATTTGTATGTAGCGGTATTTTGAGCGTGTTTTGGTCATAAAAGCACAGCGTGCGGGGCTCTATAATTTGCTGAGGTGGAGACGTGTATATGTATTTTACTTTCTTTATTTTCTTTTTTTTATAACTTGTCCAACTATCGCCATGAAATAATCGTCCAACTTGCTTCCTCGTGGCTATATGAATGCTTTATATTCAATTTTAAATGCTGCCATGTTGCCAGGGCACCTATCGGGCATTGACTCCGGGCGCCCTATTGCGTTAGAATGGACTGCGACTTGTAAGATCAATGAAAGATTATTAATATGTTACTGCATCCCGGACAATAATGAGCGTGTTTATTTTGAGAAGGCTCCACATAGGAGGACGGGAATACATACAGTTTAAAAAAAAAAAATCGTAAAAAGATGAAAAACGTAAATGAGAGTTGCTTCCCCTCATTCGGATAAATATATTAATCATTAATTAATTATATTAATTGTATGATATTCTGGGGATAGAGATGATAACATTTTGTTATCTTTCAGTAGCTCGTAGCTACTTCACTGAACAATATACAGAAGGCCCGTGTCCTCCAGAGAAATTCTTGTCTCGCAGCGATGATACAACTACTTCAGCTTAGACCGTTCCGTGTCTCAACTTCCACAAACACAGGGTAGAATCAGACCGCGTATATCTTAACATGATGTTATGCAGGCTAACTTTCTACCGACATTTAAAGTTGTTAATGTTACATATGTTTTATAATTTATTATGAATTAACTGGTGACACTTTTCATAGATTTAAAACTACGGTAATATATTATCCGGCGGAGTAATGATAACAGCACTTAAATAGAGATGCAATTTCGAGCTGACATCAACGAAAAGTGAGAAAAATGCAACCTTACTCCTTGAAAAACAATAGCTCTAGTTTACCTCATAGAATAAAAAATCTTTATCTCATTCTGAATGAAATAATTAGAGTGTTCCGTGTACTTTATGTTCTTTTGTTTGGATGTTGTATCGTAAGATATGCTAATATAGTGAGCATATCAACAGGGCTGCAAAAATGTAATAAGTAGAAAATTCCTTGTTTCTTGATGATCAGTTAAATACCATGTAATGATATGGAAACTTTTAAATTTTCGTAATTCAGAATACCTTTCTTTTATTCAGTTTAATTTTTGAACTGGATATCATTCCTACCACACTATACCACAAATACATCAAAGCTTGTAGATGACCAAGGTGTCATTTTGCATTGTAAAGAAACCTTTCCGGTAGTTGAACAGATAGTCCAAACAGATGTTTTACAAAACCCTTTTAGAATCATTCATAAGGAGAGAACAACATCCAATCCGGGAAACGAATGGAACATATTTCACTCGATTCCGACAGGGAGGCGCGAGATTCGAATCAGTTAAGTACCGTTATAATCATCGCCTCACATTGCTGTGCCACATTTGTCTGGGAGTAGCGACTGAGACTTAAGTGTTTTGTTATATGACTTTACTCTAACACAATTTTTTTCCTGTATGATATTTTCGGCATTGTACAAAGGATTCCTCCGAACGGCTATAAACTGTCTGTAAGAGATTAAGTATGTGTCAATGTCCTCCGCAAAGGGACTAAAAGTCAATAGTCGGCATTATTGGTAGAAGGGTATCTTGGAATAAACTTCTTTACGTGGAATTCTACGAGAAACAATTGGTAAATCAGGCGAATAAATTGTTTATAAACATAACCCGAAATCTCGGAGTAATATCTGGTCACTAGTAAATCAAGCGAGTATAAAATCTGTAATTAGGTGAGTATGACTTTGTTGTCAGGTGAGTAATGGAGTTAAACATTGTTATCAGTTGATTAAGGGAGTGTCACTTAACGTAAGGTTATTTTAAAATTGTACGACTTTGTTGGCCAGTTATTAGGGGAGTATGTCTTTGTTGTCAGGTCATTAGTGGAGTATGTCTTTGTTGTCAGGTCATTAGTGGAGTATGTCTTTGTTGACAGGTCATTAGTGGAGTATGTCTTTGTTGACAGGTCATTAGTGGAGTATGTCTTTGTTGTCAGGTCATTATTGGAGTATGACTTTGTTGTCAGGTCATTAAGGGAGTATGACTTTGTTGTCAGGTCATTAGTGGAGTATGACTTTGTTGTCAGGTCATTAGTGGAGTATGACTTTGTTGTCAGGTCATTAGTAGAGTATGACTTTGTTGTCAGGTCATTAGCAGAGTATGACTTTGTTGTCAGGTCATTAGCAGAGTATGACTTTGTTGTCAGGTCATTAGCAGAGTATGACTTTGTTGTCAGGTCATTAGTAGAGTATGACTTTGTTGTCAGGTCATTAAGGGAGTATGACTTTGTTGTCAGGTCATTAGCAGAGTATGACTTTGTTGTCAGGTCATTAGCAGAGTATGACTTTGTTGTCAGGTCATTAGTAGAGTATGACTTTGTTGTCAGGTCATTAAGGGAGTATGACTTTGTTGTCAGGTCATTAAGGGAGTATGACTTTGTTGTCAGGTCATTAGCAGAGTATGACTTTGTTGTCAGGTCATTAGTGGAGTATGACTTTGTTGTCAGGTCATTAGCAGAGTATGACTTTGTTGTCAGGTCATTAGTAGAGTATGACTTTGTTGTCAGGTCATTAGCAGAGTATGACTTTGTTGTCAGGTCATTAGCAGAGTATGACTTTGTTGTCAGGTCATTAGCAGAGTATGACTTTGTTGTCAGGTCATTAGTAGAGTATGACTTTGTTGTCAGGTCATTAGGGGAGTATGACTTTGTTGTCAGGTCATTAGGGGAGTATGACTTTGTTGTCAGGTCATTAGCAGAGTATGACTTTGTTGTCAGGTCATTAGGGGAGTATGACTTTGTTGTCAGGTCATTAGTAGAGTATGACTTTGTTGTCAGGTCATTAGGGGAGTATGACTTTGTTGTCAGGTCATTAGTGGAGTATGACTTTGTTGTCAGGTCATTAGCAGAGAATGACTTTGTTGTCAGGTCATTAGCAGAGTATGACTTTGTTGTCAGGTCATTAGTAGAGTATGACTTTGTTGTCAGGTCATTAGGGGAGTATGACTTTGTTGTCAGATTTTAAGGGGGTATGACTTTGTTGTCCGGTCATTAGTGGAGTATGACTTTGTTGTCAGGTCATTAGTGGAGTATGACTTTGTTGTCAGGTCATTAGTGGAGTATGACTTTGTTGTCAGGTCATTAGGGGAGTATGACTTTGTTGTCAGGTCATTAGGGGAGTATGACTTTG